GATACAGGCTAGCTTATATTCAAACTTTGCAACTTGCCTTAATAAAATTAAACTGAATTTGATAAGATGATACGCAGTTTATAACAAAATTTAATTTGTACAAAAACACAAAATTTATTTGTACAGACATATTTCTTAGTTTTCACCTACACGGCATAGTACTTTCACCAGATCGACCTTTCCTAACAATTATTAATAATTATTTTAAACATTTTAAAATTTTCCCTGACTTATGACAAAATTCCCTGACTTTTCCAGATATTTAATATTCCCTGACATTTCCAGGTCACTAGCCACCCTGAATTATCAAAAAAATTAACACTTTACGTTTAATTTTGGATACAAAATATTGATCAACAGAATGTACTTAGGCCTAGGCCTACTACAGTTCAGACCGGAAGGAAAGGTTAAAAAATAAGGGAACAGTCCAAATCCTTGTCTTGTTATTATTTAAGAATCATAGCCTTTAAAACGTTGGATAAACTTATACACTCATAAAATAGGTTTACAAACCTCATGTCTTCAATCCTAATGTAGTCTCAGGCGACTAGTTTTGAAACAACTGTTGTTTCATTCTCAAGCCTTTGTCGTCATACGTAAAATCATTCAAAAACAATTGTTTATAAACAATTACCTATTTAAATAATTTTACGTCTGACGACAAAGGCTTCAAGATGAAACAACAGTTGTTTTGAAATTAAGCGCCTGCAAGACTACATTAGGATTGCCAACATGAGGTACCGGTACATAAACCTATTTTATTTGTCATAAATCAATCCTGGAAGCAATGCTCGATAAATTAAAAACACTGTCTTACTTGAAAAACAAACATATGCCTCCCTTCAGGAATAGGCCCAACGTAGATGGTGTCCAGAGTTTGGTCGTGCTCCTCGCTCTCAGCTGAGCCAACATAGATCATTTTCCATTCTAAATCTGCAAAAATAAAACACGAAATAAAATATGTTAGTTCCATAACAACATCACTATTTATATTGTGCTTCCTTATGCAGTTCCACATGGATAAGTGGGAGTGGAACATGAATAAGGTTCAACATTTACAATTGAGCAAAAATTAGGGTTGAGATATTAGAGATATTAACAAATAGCCTAAAAACAAGTCTTACCTTCTTTCAATTCTTCAATGCATTCAAAAGTCAGTTCAAATTGGAATGGGTTTAAGAATGGTGACGGGTTATCCAAAACAACCACATTTCCCAACTGGACTTTAGCCATAATTCTTCCGATAAATTAACCTGAAAACACAAAACATTACTTTTATCTTTACTGTCCTTATGAACTCCATAAAATAACTTATCATTGCAATGGAAAGAGCTAGATTTAAGTTGTCGGATACTTTACTGGCAGCATTCATAAAATCCAAACATAAGAAGTGAATATTTTTTACCTTGTGTAGGCTCTAACTTATGTCACCGTGTGTTAAGAATGAAAAATGCTGTCTTTTTGCAAGTATATGAAGAATATACACAAAAACAAGCATGCATACTAACCTAACTTAACCTAACCTAAGACAACTCCGTATGCAGGAACTCTGGACGTCTTCCATCAGCACAATTATTAGCACAAATGGACGTAGTGCAACACTGACAGCTAAGTTTTTAAAAGTAGATCTATTCCCTAGTCTTGCCTAAGCCTATCGCAAGCACTGAAAATGAACTGGCAAATCGTTAATTAAGAATTATCAAAACATGCCCAATCTCTAGACTAGAAGAGTTTAAATTTTAGCGACAAGCGCAATCTAAAAAAATCCTTGAGATAGCCTAAAGTTACCTTAAGTTCTAGTCTCTAGAAACAGATCCCACTGCTCAACAACCCTTCTACGTTCTACTTCCAATTTCCAATTCCAATCAAGTCCACCAAGAAAACTTTCAGCTCAGTCAACATCAGTCCTAGTTGGAGATTGGCGGGAAAAAGATTGTATTTTACCCCTTTAACCTTTCCTCTCTCCTAATAAGTGTGAAATGAAATGAAATGAAATGAAAATCCTTTATTTCAACAGGCAAAGTTAGGGCCACATGGCCCTTTCTTACACTTAACCTGCATACATAATTTTAAATATAAAATAGAAAATACAATTTAACACATTATTTACACAAAAACAATACTTTTTTGACAAAACGAAAACAAAATGCCTAACAACAACAAAAAAGTCTCACACACTCAGTCAGCAATTACGCAAGTGCCAAAACAGTCCTAGGACGCACCAGCCGAGGCCATACGCTCAAAGTACATTTTTTCAGTGCCGCCACGAGCCGAGGACGACTATCAAGCATTTTGATGGATAAAGGTAAGTTGTTCCAAAGACGGCAGGCAGTTACAACAAAGGCCCTGTCATATGCTGTACTCCTATGATGAGTACTGTATGATGAGTACTATGAAGTGTGCTGTTGCACGACTAATCCCATGACGTCCAAAGCTTGTAGAAAGACTATAGTCCTCGCCACCCTAAGTTAAGGCAGCCCAAGGCCGCATGGCGTATATCTAGTGCGGCCTTTGGCTACCTCAACTTAGGGTGGTGAGGACTATAGGCCTATATTTATGGCAGTTACTGTAGACCTACTTTTAAACATGGTGGGAATTGGAGGCCTTGCAACTCAGTCAAATATTTTATATTGGACGTCGTGAAACAGCTCAAAAATTATATTTTGGACGGCGGGACACTGACTTAATTTATAACATTAGACGTTGTGACATTTGGATGACGTGCAACACTCCCTACTATTCTAGATGTAAGTTAGTTGTAGTGAAGTGTCGTCATTAGGCCTATTGCCGAACAGAATCAGTAGATGATAACCGTTATTACTTCCAGTTGCTTGTCGTGTGGTTGAAAACAATCTGCTGTAGGCTTACCGGTACTTCTCCCACAGTTCATTCCACTTGCAAGTTAAATACGTCGGATCCGTCCTACCTTGTTTATTTTAATGTAGGCTATTATAGTAAATACTTAAACACTGTACAGTATACGTTGGTGGGTGATGGGCGTGGGGCATGAAAAAAGTTCAGAATTTTTATTTATAGGGGCAAAGAAAAAAAGGTTGAGAGCATATCTGCATACAGCCCGCTGTAGCTGGTTAGGTAACCTAGCCTTGTTGTTCGAGAACTCATTTTAGGGTAATTCCATGTCAAATCAACACTTACTTTGGCATTTTATCTGACCATCTCATTTTACAATGAAACTGGATAAGTTATACCAACTGATACACTCTAAGTTATAGAGACTAAGAAAACTACCAATTGTTATTCTGTGTTTGCTGATAAAGAGGCAGAGCAAAGCTGAGACATGTGCAAACGCTACTAATCCAGACTAATCTGCTCTAGACTAATTTTAGAAAGGGCGAGAGGAGGTACAAAACGTAATGTCTTATTAGGCCTACTATACTCAGTTTCACAACTGAAATTAAACAAACCCTTATGAAACCATAGATCTGGACTCATTTTAGGCCTCTCACTTCTTTGTTTATCTAATCTCAATCTTTAAATAAGCTTACCTATTGATTGTTTCAATATCAGTATATCAACCCTGTAAAAATGGTGTAACCGTAATTACATCTAGGTGGGGATAAGTTAGTTACCATAGCCTTCCTCTATAGAACTAGAGGAACTACAGTACTAGGCCTAGAGAGAAATTAAGTTGCGAGTAACCTGATGCCATACTTGATAGACTGGACTTGGGCTAGGCCTATTCACGATAGACTGGACTTGGGCTAGGCCTATTCACGATAGCCTGGACTTGGGCTATTCATGCTGTAACTGCATACACTTTTTCTTGTTTCTTTGTCCTAAGCATGAGTTGTATTCAGCTTTCTTTAGACAAAAAACACATCCAGCAAACTAGCCTAATGCAACTTAACTTAAGCATGATAAAATTGATATGGTAGGCCTAGGATATATCAGATCCATGAAGAATCATTCAGCAAAAATTATTATGTGTTTCCTAGGCTATAAAGTCAGAAAATAAAATATATTACTTGCATTTTCATAATCATACCTCTTGTTATAACTTGCAGCTTCTTGGCGCGTATGGTCTATTCCCTAATCTTGCCTAGGCCTATCGCAAGCACTGAAGCACTGAAAATGAACTGGCAAATTAAGAATTATCGAAACAAGCCCAATCACTAGACTAGAAGAGTTTAAATTTTAGCGACAAGCAATCTAGAAAAAAATCTTTGGAATAAAGTTACTTTCAAGTTCTAGTCTCTAGAAACAGATTCCACTGCTCAACAACACTTCAACGTTCTACTTCCAATTCCATCAACCAAATCCAATCAAGCAAGACAAGAAGTCAACTTTCAGCTCAGCCTCAGCCAGCATCGGTCGTCGGTCCTAGCTGGAGATTGGCGGGAAAAAGATTGTATTTCCCCCTTAAACCTTTCCTTTCTCAAAGGCTGCCATAGATAATTTTTACCAACTCCTGTCCTGGGGCCCATTTCATATCATAATAAACTACAAGTTACAAGTTACAACTTGTAACTTGTAATTTCCATTAGATTTGCATTGGGCGATCAACTGATTTACTAATAATATTAGTTTGTACTTTATTATGAAATGGGCCCCTGGGCATAAACATGTCTTAACTGATTATTCACAAAAATTAAAACCGTTTATTTTTAATTATTGTTTATTGTAGGCTAATAACATTAGCTTTTTGTATCAGTTAAACACAGCCTGACGATGGAAACATAGTTTCTGAAAGCGCTTGTGGATTAAAATAATTTATTATATATTGGCCTTGTTGAACTTTTAAATTTAATTATACATTTCACTAATAGCATTAGGTTTATTTTATTAGTTTCAGTTCCGCCATTCCGTGTTTGAAATGTTATTCTACAAAAATAAAAAAAATAGAATAGGAGAGGAATCAAGGGAATCGGGAAGTGTTTTTTTTTCAGTTTTTTTGTTTTGTTTTGAATTATTTGAGTTTTGTTTTGACGTTTTGACTGTTTTGAGTTGAGGTTTGACGTTGTGTTTGTGTTAGTTAGTTAGTTGTTAGTTTTATGTATTTTAAAGTTAGACCTACTTAAGTACTAAAGTTCTTTGGTTTGGAATGTGTGTATAATATTTGCATGAATAAAACAAGCTGATAACTTAGCCTACAATGAAACTATTATATTATGAAATCATAAAAGTATCCAAGAAATAATTAACGGTAGCCTACGTTTTAGTATAATCTCCCCATAACTCAGACTCAGAATAAGTTGTATTCTTAGGCTATGGAAAACTACAAAATATTATGTTTGGTCGGAGAAGGATCCTTTGGTAGAGTGTTTAAAGTAAAGAAAAGAGATACAAAAGAAATAGTGGCATTGAAAATAATAAGAAAAGTAAGTTCGTAGTTAGGCCTAAGTAAGTTATTTGAAGTAAAAATAAATAAATTAGATTTCAAAATTTAAGGTTGGGTTAAACTTGATTTGAAACTAGGGTATGGCTACATTGTAGTTCTGTTAATGAATTTCCATCTATTGTGTCAGCTGTAGAAAGCGTTTCGATGACAACAAACTGTTTCCAAAACATAGGCCTAGGCTAAATGTTTCCCCAGATTATGAGGGCACAGTTTCTTAACTGGGCTATGCTAATAGGCTTTCGATTGAAACTATCGAATTGAAAATATTGATTAATAATCGATATTTTTAAATATATCTATTATGAAATAAACTATCATAACCTAACCTAAACAACCAAACTTGCTGATGGTGAAAAAATCTCATGTAGGCCTAGGCCTAGGTTTACTAAGCGAATCGATAGTTTCAATCGATATTAGCATAGCCCAGTTAAAAAACTGTACCTGACACCTGATTATGATACAGACAGACAGGGTGCTTTTTTTAATGGGATTCTGTGTGGTGAACAAATGAGATGATAAATGATTGTTGATTATTCATGTTAGCCTAACTTATGTACGGCAGATTAGGTTGCTTCTCATTTTGGTTGCCATGCCTTACCGTCTATCTTGTTCATCACCATGTAGGCCTAGGCCTTTTTTCAGAAATATTATTCCATATCTGTTGGCACAAACAACTGAATGAAAATATCAATTATATTATTGTTTCATTCGATATCTCGATTGATATTTTCATTCGGTTCAAGATTCAAGATTCAAGATTTATTTCGGCCATTAAGTTGATTACAATAGGCTTTGTCTTACATAAAATATTAATCTAAAAATAATATTTTAGTCTTTTCCTGAAAAAAATAAAACATACAAAATAATAAAATAATCCACTGCAAACCAAACAACAGCACTTCTGTCAAAATCTTCACACAGCAAACCATGCAAAATATAATTGTCAAACAAACATACCTTTCAGTAGACGTACATGACACTTAATAAGTATTTAAGTTTTGTGCAGCCTTCATGGCATCAAAAAATTCATCAAATTTGTAATATGGATTCAACTCAAGCCAATTTTTCACAATGGATACAAATTTTGATCTCCTCTGGGAACGGACAATACCAGGGAGGGCATTGAAAAACCTAATACCTGTAACAGGAAAACAGTTTTGTGATTTACTTAATCTATTACTACTCATATATGTACATTTGAGCGATTTCTGGTCATGTAAGAGTGAACATCCTTATTATATACAAGATCAGCCTCCATATCTTTCATTGCTATCAAACATTGATATATGTACACATTGACCACAGTCATGATCCGAAGTTCGCTAAATACAGGTTTATGGTGCTCTATAAAATGAGTCTGACACATGACTCGAATCGCTCTTTTCTGGAGTAACAACACTTTCTTAGCATGTGGGGAGTGACCCCAGAGCCGCGTACCATAGACAACGTGTGCCTGAAAGAAAGAGAAAAAAGCCAGCCTCAAGAAATGAAATGGCAATTCATGAGATAGGTTTCTTAAAAGGAAAATCACTCGATTGAGCTTAGCACAGAGGGCGTCAATGTGGTCACTCCACACAAGCTCAGAATCCAGGGTGAAACCCAGAAGCTTTACAGGATCACTGCTGGTAACATTTTTGTTAAGACTAAACATGATTTCCTGAGTCTTATCTTTGTTTAAGGCTAATCTATTTCCAGAAAACCATTCAGATGCTGCATTAACCAATGTGTTTACACAATTTCTAGCTGTGATAGGGTCAGTGTTCTTAGAGAACAGAGTTGTATCGTCTGCATACAGCAACACATCATTAGAGACATTGTGATAAAGGTCATTCATTGTAACTATAAATAAGAAAGGCCCAAGCACCGAGCCCTGTGGGACCCCATGCTGAACTGCCAGATCTTTTGAGTTCACACCTGCCCATGACACTACTTGAGTCCTATTATTAAGATAGGACTCGATCATTCCAAGCGCACGGGGACCAACCCCATACTTAGGAAGCTTCTGTAGCAATAAGTCATGTGAAACACAATCGAAAGCCCGTGATAAATCACACAGGACAACGGAAGTTGAACATTTTTCCTCAAATGCCTCCAGGATGACCTGCAGAAGGGAGCCCACTGCCGAGACAGTAGATTTGCCCCTCCGAAAACCATGCTGGGCGGGGACCAGGAGCCCGTGCGCTTCAAAATGATCACAGAGCTGACTTAACATGACAGCTTCAAAAATCTTACCAAACACAGGTATCAAGGACACTGGCCTATAGCTAGATAAAACATTTTTGGGACCCTTTTTGTACACAGGTACAGTTCTGGCTGTCTTTAATACATTAGGGAAAATGCCCTGCAAAAGGCAGCAGTTAAACAAGTGGACCAGCAAAGGAGCAAGTATCTTAACAACCCTTTTGATTAGTGAAGTCGACATATCAAAGATGTCCTTACTGTCAGAGGACTTAAAATTATTTACAATATTTACAACATCGGATACATTTATGGTTTTCCATTCAAAACTAGCACTAACCAATGGAATTGAATCACTAAAATTGTAAACATCAGTATTACATGGTATACCGCTAATAATATCATCTACTGACTCAACAAAAAAGTGGTTGAAGTCATCGGCAGTAGCAAAATCAAGCTTGGCAGCTGCTCCCCCTTTGGGCCTACTCTTGCTAATCAGCTTCCATGCCGCCTTGCAGGGATTGGCAGAACTAGCGATGTGGGCTGCAGCGGCTGATTGCTTTGCTTCACGGAGACGGACACGATACTCTCTTCTTAATTCACGAAGGTATGGGAGAACACCCGGTTCACATTTAGAAATGTCATGAACCAGGAGTATATGGCTCTTAAAATCTGCAAGTTCGCTCGTGTACCAGTTTTTGATCCTATTGTTTGATCCCCGAGTACCACGACAAGCCGAATCTACAGTCTTTTGTTTAAGTGGAAAATGTAGATCAAATTCTCTCTTAAATTTTGAGAAAAACTCATCAAAAGCTTCATTTGCTGGGAGAACACACAATTCATTAAACCATTGGGCTGTCTGGTTCGCAATATCGTCACAGAAAGATTTGATACGGTTTTCATCTTTCAAGCCTAACCTAAAGAACACCGTTTTGGGTATAAAATCACTCGTGTCTTTTGGTGGTATACACAAATCTAATTTCAGGAATATATGTTTGTGATCAGCAATTTGATCGTCACTAACCACAACTTGATAATTCCATGAGTCCAGATTGGTGATGAATGAGTCAAGGGATGCATTATTTCTAGTCGGGCTAAGTACGCTACTATAAAACCCAAAACTCCGAAGCAAGTTTAGGAAATCAACTGATTCTCTATTTGACTGGTTGTTTGTGCCAACAGACATGCACCATTCGCATAGCACGAAATATTTTATGTTCGGCGATCTACGGTACTTTTCTTGCAATTTACTGATTAACGAGTTGACGGCTACACACATAGGCCTATTTTGTTTACTGAGCAACTGTTCGTTTCGGGAATAGCAAAAGTATTGTTCACTTTGATCGTGCAAAAATACCAACAATAAACGGGAAAACACAAGCACGAGCATTTGATGCTTGCCAAATAGACAAACACCTATCCACACTACTCGCGATTTGGCGAGTTGCTGCTCGGTGCTTGGCGAATGACACATGTCTGGAGTGGGCTTAACAAACACCACATTACACTGTGCTGTGATTAACCAACTACAGTAGGCCTATTAAAGTGTGCAGCACTAGCACCTAGTTGATTCTGCCACCAGCAGTAAGTAGGCCTAGGCCTGTGCTAAGTATTGCCAAAACCAGCAAATTGTAAAACCTTTTGATTGCAAACTTCTTGCTAAGTATAAAGGGGTCTTGGACTAAAGTTAATGTGTAATATATATTTTAGATGGAGTAAACTTAGGGCTGATTTTCCCTTTTCATAGGCCCGCTAAGATTAAAATAAAAATCCTGTCACGTTTTGCATTTAAAAATGTAGTAGTATACTGTGTTAGAAGCTCTAAAGCAGCTACCGGCGCGCTCAGCAGTAGCTAGTTTATTGTTTCATTTATTTTATAAGCCGTTATTTAACTTATAGTATTTTAACCATTTCCAGTGTGGAAGGACACAAAAAGAACTGACTAGTCTTCGAAGTGAGTGTGAAATCCAACAACATCTCCATCATAGGAACATAATTCAGATGATCAATTCCTTTGAAACTGAGACTGAGGTAAGATAGCCTACTTAATTTCCATTTTGTTTGATGTAGGCCTACTACTATTTGTTTACTAACATTATCCGTATCAATATAGGCTAATAGTTAAACTAGTGTAGCCTACATGTTGCTTGAATTCGAGCAATTGCAAAGTATTATAGGAGTTATTTCAAAACGAATAACAGTCATATTTACAATGAATTTAAAAGAGTCAACTAAAAGATTACCGTTGTGTAACTCATGGAGATACTCACGATGTATATAACAATAATCAACATTTCCTGTAAATATTGTATCATATTTCATAGGCCTAACTTGGCTATTATGGTCAAGTGTCTAATACCTTTCAGACTTAATTACTTTATAATTTTTATTTCCTGTATTTTTTTATGTAATTTTAACCAGGCAAGTAAAAAAGTCTTGTTTTGAGTTTAAGATTTGAAATTAAGAATTTTATTTTGTATTGTTTCAGTTTTTTTTCCAAATTTAAAATTTATGTTTTTGAGCATCGCTAGTTGAGATCAAGGGGTAGCAGCTAGCTTGCCTTAGATAGGAAGTAATGATATACCATAGAACCCTCAGAAAATACACAATATTTCAAGTGATATAGTGAGTGTCGAGTGTAGACCAAGGAAGGGTAGGCAAAGTTTCCTGAGTCCTCTGTAAGCTCTATGGCCAACCCATAGGCTACTTCTTCTTAGGTAAACTAGCTGTTAGCCTATATCCCTTTATCTGCAAATCAAAAGCCTAGCCCAGAGCATTAAAATAAAACTAAGTTAAAATTAAGTCTTCTTCAAGTGACTTGCAGTTCAAGTGAGTGTTTAAATGGTTGTTTATTTTAATGATCCTGTATTTTCCAGATTGTAGTTGTCACTGAATTCTGCAAACGGGATCTTCATTATATTCTGTCCAAGCAAACATACCTATCAGAAGAAGTAGCTCTTCCAATAATTTGTGATTTAATCTCAGCCTTATACTATCTTCATTCTAATCGAGTGCTGCACAGGTACTGGCATTTAATTCTTAAAATATGGATATTCAGGCCCGAGGTTTGCATGTGATGCGCTTTATGGCCAGAGGGACAATTGCACCCCTCTCCACCTACCTTGTGGGGGAATTTTTCTCTTCCTTGCACCCCTAACAAACCTAAAACCTCTTGCATATTTTTTACCCAGCCTATTTAATAAAGTGGCCCTGTGGATACTTAAGACATTATATAATGGTTATATAGGTAGAGCTAGTAAGAAACTGAACACAGGAAACACTTTGGCTAATTTGTGGTCTTGATATTCTTTTGGGCATAAAAGAACATAAACTCCATTGACATAAAAGTAATGAGGTGGAGTTTTTAGAACTAAATATTGATTGGTCTTCATTGTAACAAATAATAGAAAACCCAACATTTACATTTGTTTACCATACAATTTACAGTGTTTAAATTTTGATAAAACTATTTATTTTATTCTGCCATAAAGCTCATAGAATTAAACCAAACTGACCAATTTCAGTGTACAATCGTCTTCATTGTAGGGGTTTAAAAATCTGCATAATTCTATTCAGCATCTTTACTCTGTTTGCAGAGCTTGGATAAATCATCTAAGTTTTCAATGCTAGGCTAATATATATTTTTATTTTTATACATTTCAGAGACCTGAAGCCACAAAATGTGTTGATTACGGAAGAAGGTGTGGCTAAACTATGTGACTTTGGGTTTGCTCGGAGTATGAGCAGAGGAACACATGTCCTAACATCTATCAAGGGAACACCTCTGTATATGGCACCTGAATTGATCGAGGAGAGTCCTTACGATCACAACGCTGACTTGTGGTAAGTTGATACTCCTGACTTATAAAGGTTAGTGCAATTCAATGGAACCACCATGTTCTTTTAATGTAAATTAATTTAGTTGAGGTAAATTGCAAAATGTCATATCAGTAATGATTATTTACGACAAAATACTTTATTTTTAAATGTTGCTGCAGTTATATGCGTTTAGGTTTTTTTTGTCTGCAACTATCCAAAGACTGCAGCATCGCTTGTCTTTATGTGAAAAAAATCCTTTTTACATAGGTATTTTACACAATAGGCCTACTAGGTACTTTGATTAGAATAGGTCAGAATTTTTCAATGAATGTGATTAAAATTATTCTGCAGATAGATTGAACATAGTCTGTAGATTCTTTTGTATTGATTTTAGGGATGGACGAGATTGGATTTTTAGTTCGAGACGAGATTTTTTATTTCTCATAAAATTTCGAGACGAGATCGAGACGGGATTTCCCTTCTCATACACAACGGGAAATGCACGTTCAAAATTTTTACCTGATTTTGTAACATTGTTAGATGACTGTTTAAATACAAAAATAATGATAATAGGCAAGAATATTTACAATCTTTTATTAAAAAATATCAGCATAACATTTTTTTATTAATCACGCCTAACTTATTAAAAATGCCTACGATTAGGAAACATAGTGATATCAGTTAGGATAGAGTTCAACTTATCCTAAAATAAAATAAATCATAAAATAAAAGCAATATTAATTTTTATAAAATAATTACTTGTTTTGACTTTTTATAGTAATAAAACATTCCTCACACTGCTTACACTTAACAAAACTTCTCAAATGTTATTAAAGTAATATTATTAAAATAATTAAAGTAATACTTACATTTAAAGAATTAATTAAATAAGAACGCCTTCGCAAAGGAAACGCAACTACAACACGCTCCTGTATTGCGGGTATTGCATTGACTTTCTGCAGGCGTTTTTAATTTTTTTTTTTTTTTTTTTTTTTATTCTCGTCTCGATAATAATCTCGGCCAAAAAAAAATCTCGTCTCGTGTAACGAGATTTAAAATTTCCCGAAAATTTCCCGAAATTTCGAGACTTGACCATCCCTAATTGATTTTTACTAGCTAAAATTTTGTGTATCTCAATTTATAAATCTTCAAGATCGTGTATTATTTACAATAGACTTACTTGTGTCACATTAGCCTATGTACCTAACACCGTACATGAACATATGTGTCAGGTCCCTAGGGTGTATTATCTACGAGATGCTAGTGGGCGCTCCACCGTTCACCACCAACTCTATACTGCAGCTGGTGCGCATGATCCGCTACGAGCCTGTACACTGGCCACTGTACTTGAGCCCTCAGTGCAGAGACCTGCTACAAGGGTTGCTACACAAGGATCCGTCCCACAGACTGTCGTGGCCTAGACTGCTGAAACACCCCTTCCTACAGGGGAAGGTCAGCGACTTATCTGCTTCTGGTGAGTGGTTCAAATCAATAATGTTGTGACTCTAAAAAGTTGAAATGAGGTTATTGTTAACTGCCACATTATTTTACTGAAAATATTCTTAGGAAATCAGGTTTAGATGAATGAGAAAGAATAAAATGAAAGAGTCTTAAAGTAAAAGGAATAAGAAAAAGAAAACTTTTACACTATGCATGAAAATTAGAATATTTTACTGTATCTGCCAGTATTTTCAACCAACAAATATTTGAGTTAGGAAGAGGAATGTCCTTAGATAAAATGGTGGTCAGGAAGTGCCTATTCGAGGTTAAGATTAAGTGTTCCATGCACTATTATAATGTTAAAATCCAGAACTTTGAGGTGTAAGGCTTGCAACGCTAAATGTCAGAAGTAAAAAGAATATCCAATTTTTAAGATTGTGCACTTTTCATACAGTTTGTGCATACTTTTCATTGAATAGCTCATCTTAAGGGAATATATTTTTCCTACAATATCCAATTGTTAATTTGCTGTAGGAATGTCTCTGCCTCTTACCAAGGAACTGAGCGCATCCCAGGCTCTAGCTAAGGAATCACAAAAGCAAGATTTAGTCCACAAGGCTGAAGTAGCTAATCAGTGAGTATTTAATCGATGTGACTGTGGCTAAGTAATGTTCAGTATTGATGTCATTGTTACATGAAAAAAACGTGTACAGGAAACAAGCCCGCAAAGCACCTTTAATTTCTAAAATTCACTGATCCTTGAGTTTTCCACTGTAAAATATGGCTTGAATCTTCTTTTTGCATTATTAATGCTGTATTCTAATGTACAGCAAACTGACTGATTTGGATTTTTTTAAGAGAAGTTCAGCTTGCTCACTCAAGAAAATTAGAGTCCATGGGCTATTAGATACACAATAAAAATATAACATTGATATTTTTTCCCACAAACTACTCAATGAAGAAATCCTACAATCGACCTACAACCTACAACCTACAACCTACGATCGAGCTAAATAGCAGTGCTTTGCTTTGTTAAGCCTTGTTCACACGGGGCAAGTTTACAAGCTACTCACCAGCGTTAAAGAAGCCAGCGAGTTGGCGAGTGCAACTGTATTCGTTCACACGGAGCTTGTCCACTCGCCAACATGTAAAAAGACGCCACTGAGTCGGCGAGTGCGCTTGTAGCCGTTCACAAGATGATTTTCCCAGTAGCTCAATAGCTGGCTTGAACCAAATCCTCTACCATCTTTGAATAACATGCGCACAAGCACAAGCAACTGTGTTCACACTGGGCTACTTTACACGCCTACTCGCTCAAAAGCTGGCGAGTTGGCGTGTAAAGTAGCGGCAGCGTCAACTTTTTCCCGAGCTTTTTTACAAGCAGCTTTTGAGCGAGTACGTCGTTCACACTGAGCTATTTTACTAGCTGCGTGTAAAAAAGCTGGCGTGTAGCTTGTAAACTCGCCCCGTGTGAACGGGGCTTTAGGCTAACTTTTATACTGTGTACCTATTACTTGACTCTAATTTTCGCTGGTTAGTTAGTTGACTACTTTTTATTTTCCTAGGATTCTTATTCCATAGTACAATAAATAAATCTTAGGTTATTTAATTCTTAGAAATATATTGAATTATAGGTTTTGCCACTTTATAATTTTAATTTCAGAGGGCTGCCGCAAAAGATACAACATATATTGGATAAAGAGAAGAAGTTATTAAGGGGTGATGGTCTGACTGCCATAGATCTGGAGACATTGGAACAGAAGCTGAGTAGACTACAGACTGTGGAGCCACAAGTAACGGAGCCTGAGGTGACGACCGTGTCTGAGGCAACACAGGATGACCCAGTGAGTAAATTGACAATATACCATTCAACTGCAATAGTATATTAGTCCTGAAAATAAGTGTTTACCGGACGAGTGTGGTCGTTCCCGTGCGAGACGAAGTCGAGTACGGGATTACCATACAAGTCCGGTACACACATTTTGGACGAGTTACGTACGATAGTTTACGCCATACTACTTAATTCGTACGAATCCTTATATATTTCAACCAACTAAAGGACTAAACATCACCAATCATAACCTCTAAGAGAGGTTATGTTTTTGTTTATAACCAATCATTGCCACGCAAATACAGTATAATCAGCTGATTGGTGTCCGGTAAAACTCATTGCAGAACAGTATTACGCAATGAAACCCCATTTGAATAAGCTGGCGGCAAACAGCTGTTTTCTGGACTAAATCCTTGCGTGGGAAGTTCGTCAAAATAATGTAGTGTGGCGTAAAAAGCATTAATGAACTGTGAACTTTGCGGTTTAAGATTAAATATTACAAGAGGCTAATTCAGTTTCTCTTTTCCCCAAAACTTTCACTACCTACCAACTTTTACTATTAAGAGAAATTGTCGATTGTTAATACTTAGAGATTTGGAATATAGGAATAGCAATTCCAGAAACTACTGCTATCATGACAAAATTGTATCCACTGCATTTGCAGTAAAAGTATGGTGTCATTATAATGAATTTTCAATTGTGCCAATTTTGCAGATTACTTCCACAATCAACTCAGTCCCCCAAGCTATGTATGTGGTAATTTATGTCCTTTGAAAACAAAACAATTATATAAATCCTGTTGGAAAAACTAGTCTTCAAGATGTTAAATAAGTTTAAAAATAAATTAAGTTTACATTTTCAAAACTGTCTGGGTATATTTTGATTATCCTTTCCATTAATCTCATTGTGTATCTTTATTTAATCTGGAATAAAAATTACAACTAATTGATGGCTGTTGACTTTACAAAGCAACATCGTTGCGGTATATCGTTGTGTTGGCTATGTACACTGCTACATCCATTTGTATCTAAGGTTTGCTACAACACTCTTCCAAGGCCACAATAAAAAACCAGGCCGTAATGCTCGTCTAGCATGGCGTCATGATAGAAGACGGCAATGACGTATTTTTGCCGTTTGTGATCAGCTGCTTGTTTTAATCTTTTCATGGCAAACAAAAATATAACCTAAACTACGTCATTGCCGTCTTCTATCGTGACGTCATGATTGACGAGCATTACAGCCTGTTTTTTTAGTGTGGCCTTGACTCTTCTATGACCACTGTAACTCTGCCTGTACACAGCATATGTTTCATTACCCTTATTAACACCTACAAATTATGTGCAAATTACTGCTAAATCACAAATTTTATATCAAAGTTTGATTTAACCCTTTTGGGGAAGGAGTTAATGCTCTGCCTGCAGCACCCTCTGTCAGCAATTAATTTTACCGAATTTGTAGACTTTTCTTCTAACTGTTATGGAAAGAAATCCTTAGGTAATAAATTAATACTTCTTTCACCATTGTGTTCACTGTAGAATTGTCTACAAAAAAAGTGGTAATTGGATAATCAAAGTGTAAAAAATAAAAAACAAAAATAAAATTATAAAGATTATAAAATAAAAATTAAAAAACAATTTTTTTGAAAGTAAACTTGATTTACAAATTCTAAGATTAATCCAGACACCAAATGACACTACTATTACAAAGTTCAATTGATTCCCTACGTAGAAAAATCACAAGTTGTGTACTTTTTTATAAGCAATAACATAGAAAAAAACTGGATGTTTACCTTACCGCAGCTGATTTTTGGTGATATCTGGTTTCCATGGCGACACAACATTGTTTGTTATTCGCAAAAATAAAAGAAGTAAATACGCAAAACGAAGCAAGATATTTATAAACATAATAAAAGTAGGAAGAAACAAAAAGGGGGGAATTATAATAATAAAATAACTAATGGCGCTGCGTAGCGGTGACATGAGCGGCACTCGTAAGTCCTGCATCGGCCGTACGAGTAATGCTCGTAAGTTGGCGCCAATGGGTTAGGTTCCTGATTGATGAGCAAACTTATATGACCCACTCTATACTCTTGGTGAAACTGGAACAGAACCTTAGAACTATTTTATTTTAATAATAAATGTGTTTGTGTCCACAGCCCAGTGAGACTGACAGTGAGCGGATGGCTACTCCACTAGAGGCGGAGGAATGGTTAGTGTTTCTACAACAGAGCATGATGGAGGTTATGCAAGGAGATGTGGAGAGTATGTCGGAGAAGAGTTTCATCACTATGGTTACCAATGCACTCACCAACCACGGCGCAGCGCCCAAGATCACAGAGTATATCGCTTGCCTGCTAGCGTTGCCGTACGTAGCACCAGGCGTCACAAAGTCTGAACTCAGTACTATTACCAAGGTAGTGTTAAGTATTCAATGCTTGATTACCTGTGTATTTTCTTGAAACCTTTGAGCCTAGTGATTGTTTATTGAATTAATAATTCTTGGAGGTTATCACTTGTCCCCTCTTATTATTAACAAAAAAATCTGAATAGTTCTTCTTGGTGGATAAGTATCAAAATGCATGATTTGGGGAGGAACCCTGAAATAATTCACCCATTCTGTAAAGTTGCACCTAATGTTTATTTTAGATTTGCTGCACCCTCATCGCACACAACGTCTGAATCAGTTACCGAATGTATAAAATTGTCCTAAACTTGAATTTAAGTACAGTAGAGTCCCGCAAACTCGGCTCTCGATAACCCGGCAGTCTGGATAACTCGGCCATCACCTGGCTTAGAAAATTAGTGATTTTTTGAGTCCGTGTTAAAAATGGACTCAAGCCAGCTCAAGCAAATCATTCGCAACTCATACCATGGAATTGTTGTACTATATCTGATGACTTAAATACTGACTTGTATTATAAATATAAATAAAAAAGGCGGTTAAAAAGCTTAAAAAATTGTATTTTTCTTATTTTAAACCCTTGTTCCTGATAACCCGGCATTTCACAAACTCAGCATCCTTCCAGTCCACATTACGCCGAGTTTGCGGGACTCTACTGTACAACTGTTTTAGTGTTTTGCAATACATTGCTGCTGTGGAAATCAATTACCACTAGGACTATTGCAATTCTAAAACTCTGTATCTGATAGAATTTTAAGAAAAGTTATCATGCCAGAATCTCAACAAAGTCGTGATCATCTTCTGCAATGCAGCGACCTCCGTAAACATGGCAACATCGTGATATTTTCCTGCAAATGTGGTTTGAATCTATCACTCAAAAATAAGTAAAAGATTTTTCTAAAAAAATCTTTTTATCTGGAAATTACACCTGAAAATAGCGGGTATAAGGTACATATAATATTTGATCATCAGTTCTCGTATCCTACCAATAACATTTTGAATTTAAATCTTTTTTGGACATTTGAGATTTAGCTTTGACACATCTCTTGTTTTTATTAGTGACTACTCTACGTTTTACTTTGTTTAATATGTGTCAAAAAAGATTTCTCTTTCCAATCCACTATTGTTGCAGGTGTACATAGAAGTGAAGGTGGTGTCTAGTCTGATGTTTGCACTCAAGCTGTTGACCAATCGTGCCGGCTGTTCTGCCAGTCATGACAGCGTATCGGAGCACAGCAAAGTGACAGTTGATCAGCTGTTAGCTCTAGAGAGAGTGTTGGTGCTAGTCAATCAGCTGGTACACTCAGACCAGGTGTTCCTCAGTCAATTCTGTGATGTTGTGGCATTGCTACATCTCGCTCCTAGACTGCATTTGCTGCTAAATTTCCACAAGTATGTTTGTTTGTGTTGGTTCCTTCTAAAATAGTTTTAGTTGATTAGATTATTTGATCTAGTTTACTCCGGGCCAATTGAATTAGAGCAGGACTTACTACTCTTGATTGAACTGTTTTTAGGAAGTAGGCCTATGTTGAATTGTACAGAAGAACGTATAAAACATACAAAAACCTACCATCTGGTATTTTAGATACTAAGCAATTAGTGGGGTTTAATTACTATTTTAAGAGGTTAGTGGCTCATTTTACCCTTGCATCTTCTATGTAGACCTCTATCTTTTACCTGAAGCATTGAGTTAGCCTTTACGGTACAAGAATAAACTGTAATGATTATAAGTTATTAGTAAGAGCACTGGGTTACACACCTACAAAATTGCTTCCGTAGACTTGTAAGCCAACGCTCTAACAACAGAGCCACTGACTCACCAAATTCAAATTGTAAACATTTTGGGGTATCTTTTTGTTGTCATGACAAATCAATAGTTACTACTAAAAACTCCACTTCGATTAGATGTGATAACTTTACAAGATGTGGCCCTAGGAAGTAGGAAGGTTTTATGAATATGCCTATGTGGGTAAGCCAGGTTCATAACTAACCTTTAGCCCATATACATTTCTGGCAAGCCGGTTCTGTAGTGCCTACATTCACCTGGAACAAAGAAATTCACAGACATACTGACACACATAGGGAACAGAAATAAACTTAGTTTTATAATTTTATTGACAAGTTAAAGAACTATTAAAGGTAAACTATTAAAGTTTTAACTATTAACTATTGAAGTTTTAAAACATAAAACGATTTCTTTAGTATTTAACTGCCCTTATAAAATATAACAATGCTTGTAAGTTGTAATATATGTCCAGGTCCAAACCACGCCTAGCTTTAGACCTGGTGTCCATATTGACCCATATCCTGAGGCAGATGCCAGAGAATGCAAACCTTGTGGACAATTGCGTCCAACCAGAACTATCAACTGGTGAGTTGGCCAAACTCCATATAGCCTAATTACAATCGTCACTCAATTTACTGACTGGGTACATCTAACTTTCTTGATCCTCCCCAAGAGGTGCCTTTCTCCTGCAACTCCTTGGTTATTGATCAATTTTTGTTTTTTCATATTTCTTGGTTTTCTCAGTCTCCTGCTTTTAGTATGGTTCTACACAAATGCCTTATTTATCACTTCCATGTTAAGTTATTTGATATCAATTATGTTTTGAAATCTTGATGAGCCTAGATTAATCCTAGAGTGTGTTCCATCGTTATTGTTTTATTTTGGACTTCTAATGACTCAGATTAAAATTGCATACGTTTTATTATTCCCATTTAATTACTTTACACTTATAAAAAAATTAAGTTAGAATGTTTCTTAGTCTAATAGTGTTGAATTTGTAAAATTGAATTTAGCTGTATCATTTTTTTATAAAAAATCATGGGTAGAGAAATACTAAATGAAAATTTTCTAAAGAAATATCTGATAGTCAAAGCCTCACATGTAATCTCACTCCATTTTAAACTCACCTTACACAGTCATATTCAGTGTTTGGTTTCCAACCAAATGTCATTGTCTCAGAAGATTAATTGATTGATACATCAGGTATTGACTGGCACCTAGTGTTGAAGTTCGGCAACAAGACTCTGCAGACTCGCACGTGCCTGCTGCTGCAGTTGATGGCTCGCTACTGTACGCAGACTGTGCAGTCTGCATGGCACATCAAGCTGCATAGGTATATAGACGCACTACGCTTCGATTCCTCTCAGGACCTCAGATGCGTAAGTTTCAGAGTGAAATGATACAAACTTTCCTTAATTTTTTGCTACCAGAATTGATTAAATGAATAAGATAAAATAAGTTACACACCCTTTTTGTTGCCACTTTGCTGAAAATTAATATGAAAGTCTAGTTCCAGAGAATCATAACTTCTTTCTCTAATCTCGGAACACCAAAAATATGTGTTGTCACAAATCACATTTTTTTATAATTTACTGTTCTTTGTGTAGTTTGTTTACAAGATATGAAAACAACCAATTATTTTTATAATCAACATAATTTCAATTGATCAGTAGTTGTGTTGTAACCTGTGCATTTGATGGAGTGTTTTGAATACTTTTTTCAACCGTGATAAATTCAGCAATAATTGTCAAGTATTATAGATTACAATATTTTGGACACACCTTTCTGTCGATTGTTAGTCTTTATTATAGTCTAAATTTTGTTTCAGGCGGCTGAAGACGTAATAGAATTAGTTCAAGATCTACCTTTCTTTGACCAGATAAGTTCACAATTGGATGATGAACTCCTTTAAAGTTGATTGTGAACCAGAAAAGTTAAGAGTTTTGAACTTTGGTGAGATTTCTATTCAATTACATCCAAAAAAAGATGTCGGAAGAGTTAGTTTTGTCAAAATTCGCTTATTCTAACGTATCTGGACGGGAAACACTTCATGATTTTCAGAACTCTACTTGCAGTAGTAAAAGTCTGAAAGAAATCTCTAAGATTGATTTAACCTAAATAACTAGATGTAAAGGATGTCACATAGAGCACAAGGGTTCATTAGGTTTTTCTGTGAGGAAAGCAGGCTTACGTGAATGAGAAAGAGTCCAGATAGGCCAGGATACACAACTTATACTATACACAAACCATTTGAGTTGAACAAACTCATGCCTTTTTATATTCTACTAATGTATAGGTAGTGTTACGTTGTGTGTATTTGGCCAGTTTGGACTTTCTCCCATTCAGGTAAGCCTGCTATCCTTACTAAAACCCTAAGAACTAATAAGAGGTTTGGACTAGAATTAACACGTTCGCAACTGCAATAGTACGAAATTTTTCATTCACGTGGACCAGCGACGCACATATGCGTTGGCTAGTCACATTAAAATAGACTGCCGTCGCATATTTGCGTCGGGGTTCTAATGTTATTAAAATGCTTATATCTTTATAACGGTCTATTTGAAGGCACTGAATTCCCTGTAGTGGTCTACAGAGATGTCTGACGCACAACTGCGTCGCTTGGTCTGTGGATATGATGATTGGTGACGTCATATGATAGTTGGAAAAACTGGTCTTTACTTTTCTGCATCACTGTATGTATGTATGCAGTACTATCCTATGTAGCTTTTATATTTGTTCAGTTATAAACTGTTCTTGATCAATCTGTTTTTTATTTTACTTACTTTCACCTCAAAACACAAAAAATGAACCTTCGCATATATGCGAAGTTTGGTCTATTTCAAGAAAACTATGATAATTTTCACTATTATCTTCGCTGTAGACCGGGCGTCACAAATGTGCGACATTACAAAAGGTTATTAATAATACAAAAAAACAAGAATACATTATTTACAAACACGATTGTAGCGTATTACAATGTAAATGATCACTGTTTTACAGGTTTTCGCCCGTGGTCTGTGTGTACTGTTATCCAAGTGAAAGCCGGTCTGTGTGTAAGATTCAAATGTATACCTCGGTCTATGCGACGCTCAGTAGCGGACGTGTTAATTATCAAGTTAAGGGAAGTTGAGCAGATGCTCATTACAGTACTATGACATTAATGTAACTCTATTAATCTGTTTTATTTCATTGAGGTCAAGTTGCTGCCACTCTTTACCTATTTAGTTTTTTTCAATATACCTGAGGGCCTGAGGCTAGACTTATCAACATGTACGTAGTGTACTTTGTAGAGCATGAACCCAGCGTCCTTTGAGATGTTCATAAGTTTAAACTTTGTTTGTAAATATAGCTGTGTGTAAATTTATTAGAACTGTGATATTAACAAAATTATATTTATAAAGTAGTTTTAATAACATTTTTACCCCTGTAAAAATTTTACATGTTGATAGTTACTGTTTGTGTAGAAATGTAATTTTACCTACGACCGTTTTTTAAACTAGCTTTTTCAATTCAGTTCTTAAAATTTAAAACATACACTTTACAGGATTGTTTTGTTACTGTACACTACAATCTAAATTGTAGTGTACAGTAACAAAACATTGGTCCTAAGACCAATGAGGTTCAAGAATTGAGAGAAAAGTAGTAAAATTTTAATCACGTCAAGAAAGTCAACTTATCAGCTGTTAAGACCAATTTATTTGATTAAACAATCAGTGAGTCGTTGGGACAATAAGTCGTTGCATCACTGTGAGTGGTTATGAGAGGTTATAAACGAAAATGTAACCTCTAGAAGTTATGAGTAGAGATTTTTAGTAATTAAGAAACGGTCTTAGGTAAATTAGTAAATTACATAAGGACTATCCTTATGCGATTTTTGCGTAAACTACTATTTTCTTCGTGTTTTTTGTTGTTTCTTGAGTTGTAAATGTATTACATGTTAATACTTTGAATCTAAATTTTTATATTGATATCTATGTTGTAAATATATTTAGTCAAATATACCAAAAATATTTGATAAAGCAAAAAATGTTCTTTATTTTACACTGTAGTTTATGATGCTGTTTTAAAAGGCTAACCGCATTGACTATTGGATACTGAAGTAGACGTCCCATCTATATGGACCAGCTGTAGCCAATTTTTTGTTAAAAAAGAACGTAGTTGTGTTAGCCAGCCATAGAATGCGCTAGTGTCTAAAACTCTATTTTCTACCTCATTTTTTGTTGCTGGCCAAGTTGATGGGTCATAGCAGTTGATATAGCTCACAATAAGTCATTCCATTTGTTTTAATTGTTAAACAAGATTGTGTATTCGACAGAAATCAGTAATTAATTAACTATTCATCGACTATTTAGATCAGCACAATCTGTCGGTAGCTCACCTCAACTACGACTATTTGCTTAAAAAAAATGCTACAAATTTTAACATGAAGAAGGAATGCCCAGTTGTATTAATAGTCAAAGCTAACAGGTTACAAAAACAGGAATCAAAAACCGTTTGGGGCCAGTTTCTCACACTTTTGTAGTAGTTTTTGAGAACTCAACCTATCAAATAGATCTTTCAAAGTAAGGTGTACACTGTAAGTTGGTTTGATTCAATATTACAAATTTTAAAAACAAGTAATAATTTGGAAAAATGATAAACTATTAGAGAGTTATACTTAATATAAAGGGTTTACAGAATACAAACCATTTAAAAAGCTACAAAAACTTTTATTCACAAAATAAATATTTGGAATGAAGAATTAACCTAAAGATCCATAGAAAACAGATGAAAAGCCTATAATAGTAAAAAACCAAGGCACTTAGAATGAATGTGTAATTCAAAAATTTATAAACTCAACACACTAAGTTATTAGTCTAACAATAAAAAGTTAATACTACTCAATTTTACAATCTTGTTGAAAATGGTATACAAACCATTAAAAACTAAGTATTTTAGAAATTAGTTAACCAAATTTTACTAAAACTTAATTATTAATTACATATTGCTTATCAAACTGACCTAGAGTTGCATGGGAAATAGTTTTCATAGTAGTGAATCATAAAAATAGGCACTATGGGTTTTTTAGAACGTTGAAACACAAAAAAATATTTGTTTACAACCTTAAAAAATATTTTAACAACATATCTCCCATTAGGTCTGTTAAAATAAATTTATACATCAAGGATTGTTTATTACTTATGCCAGTCATTTATAGAATGTTGTTATTAACAAATAATGCAAAAATATTACGCAAACATAAATATCTGTTGAGGGAATAACTTTAAAGTAGTTAACAAGTACTTTACTAACAGAGAAAACTACAATTACAATAACGCTATAAAATATCCAAGAGATAACAAATACAAGAACAAAAAACATATTTAACTTACTCTATAACAAACAACACAAAGAGGACTTAACTACAAGTAGTAGTAATAGTAAGGCTACTTTGGCACTACACTGTTGGTGTTATACAAATATTGATAATCCAATTTCAGTGGTATTTATAACTGAAAATCTGGCATTTAATTTTATGTTTACATGTATACACACTTACTAACTTTGAGTTATGGAATAATACTTTTATTTCAAGAGTAAACAGTAAAAGTAAGTAGTATTGAAAGAGTGCTGATTCTCGATCCATAGTTGTAAAAAAAAAATTGTTTTGCCAAAGATGGAATTTGTACAGAAACTTTATGCTCTTAATGCCTCGATAAATAGCTAAATGAATTGAGTAATTGTATGTATAGATCAAAAATGTTTCCCTGAACTGGTCAAGGCTATATAGCATGCGTGTATTAGTAATTAAATTGCATGTAAAAAAGAACTGTGACAGATTTTTCCATGAAAGTTTAGTAAACCTCTTACCATTCATCATTTAAGAATTAAACAATTTACAAAGCTACTATCAGCCTCTAAATTGGGGGATTGACCATTCATAGTTTCAGTGAGAAAATAAAAAGCAAGATAATTCTAAAGCTACCCTTTCTTTTTACAATATTTGACATGTAACTTACAATATATACAAACAAAATTCATCCAACAACCTACACTAGATTAGAATGTACATATTGTTACCCATTAGTATCCGTATACTTTTGGTTACTAGAATAATAAATAAAAATACCACTTCCTCAATGGAAAAATAAATGTTGTTCTTTCTTTTTAGGGAATAGTTGAAATAAACAAAAAAAAATTACTATAAAACACTCTTGTGTGTGCAGTAGATTGGTTATTTTTTTAAGCGGCTAAAATATAAATTTATTGATATTTCCAAAAGTAAAACATTGGGGTAGTTTCATTTTTTATTTGTTGTGTGTTCATTTGTGCTATTTTAGTTAAGGTGAAAGCTATCACAGCTACTAAAACTAATTCAGTTTAATAATGTTTTCACTAAACAATCCATATCAGAGAAGCAAAACTTATGGAAAAAATAACTGAACTAAGCAAACTACCATGTGAATATATCAATTTAATTTAACCAACATTAAACACTAACCATAGTTCCTTTCTCACACAAATATATGCTAAAGAATTAAGTATAATCATTGAAGTGTTCCTGTGCGAGTTAGTAGAATGGATGCGTTGTAAAACCATGTAACTTGTTAAGGTTGTCACTTTTGAGTTGGTCAGTTTATTTGTTTTGAGGTCGGATTAAGGGATGGCCTTTAACATCGGGTAAATATATTTCTTATACAAATATTGATGTAAATAAGAACTATTGAATATAAAAAAAATATTTCCTGTGTGACTGAGAGCGTGTGGGGCTGAAAAATAGTTAGGAGGTTGGACAAGGCCCAGCATCAGTACCTAAGGACGGCAATTCCCGCCACTGAAGTGACTTCACCAATTTCAACCAAAATCGACACCGAGACATCTAGATTAATCATTTTAGATACCCTGACATCATTATCACATTATTATTTTTTCACATTTTAGAGTCACAATCAATATAATTATTAGCACTGAACGTCTTAAGAGAACGTTGAAAGTAAGAGTATAATTACGTTTATGAATTTTAAATAGTTTTTTATAGGCTAATTTTTTAAATTTTAATAAGTATACACTACAACTTGGAACCTTGGCAAGCAAATGTCCATCAACTTGGGACGATTAGGAGCATAATGTACAAATACAATTGAATTACAAACGCTTACTTAAGTGAACCCTAAGTGACTTCTTGGTCATGGAAGTTTGCTACAACTTACAAAATAAATTTAAATGCACACATTTTTATGATCAAGGGGACAGACAAAAATTTACAAAACAAATGTAAGCCTAGAAGAAAACAAATTAAAAACCTTATAGGCCACCTTATGTTTACCCTAAAATAACAATGAATATACACTTTTTCTAAAAATAAATGCTTATTTTTGGAATATGGAGGTTTGAGATCATGAAAAGCAATGTTGATTTAGATAAGAATAAAATTAGGAATAATGGTTAGGCTATTGACAATCTTGAGTATCGGTTAGTTTGTAGCCTATAATAAAATAGGAAACTATAGTTATGGTTTAAGTATTTCAATTCCTTGTGTTGTATTGAAAATTCTTTGCAAATCTTTAAAAATGGCACTGATAACTATAATGTATTGTTGTAACAATACAAAAATGATCCCTTAGTTACCCTTATTTCTATTGGAAAAGAATATAATTAAAATTACGATAAAATATCATATTATCAAAGATCTAACGTTCCTCTACAAACTTCTCAAGCAGGTGGACTTGTTGGAATGTGTTTTTACAAAAGTGACTAGATGACTAGGTTTCCAGCTGTCAGACGCTTGAAGACTACGAAGAGTTGGTCCATTCTTTGAACCGATCGCCTGCAACAAGGAGGATACAGGTAAATGAAGATTTAAATGTTTATCGTATTTCTTATTGACAGCAAAAAAAGATTTTATTATTTCACTTTATTATAATTATTTTCCTTTCCTACTAAACTCACACTCAAATGAAGTATTTGCCAGTCTCTTATAGAGTGTGTAATTTATTTATCACTTTTGGTGCTAAAAACCTGAACTTACGTCAGTTAGAAGGAACATAAACACAACCCTTATTAGATTTATTCTGGAAACATGGAATAGTCTGGACAGACAAACATGTTAATGAAGGCCAACAATCAGAGATTATCACAGCCAAACTATCAGAAAATATCCACTGAGCATATTGCATTATAACATTTTTTGACTAGATGACACTAATCATACCGATTAAAATTTCAAAAATACATTTTATAATCACACACACACAAGTTTTAAAACTGCACCAATTTCTTATAAATTGTGCAAGGTGGTCCTATAAAACTAAAACTGCACAACTAACTATACTACAAATCAAATGTAAAATTCTAATAACTTTAGTAGTTATTACATGATGAGATTATGACTAACTTGGGATTAAAATGTTTTTGGCGTGTTTAATACTCCGACTAGTGTATTTTATGTTGCTCGAAGTCAAGCAATTGCAAAGTATTACCAGAATTATTTAATAATGAATAACAGTCATAATTTACGATGAGTTTAAAAGAGCCCACTCAAAGATCATGGAAATACTGTAGTCAACATTTCATGTAAATATTGTTTAATTTTTCAAAAAGCTGATCTTGTTTTTTAGCGTTTTCTAACAAATGTTTTCCACTCATAGCCGCATTAGATCGTCCATGTTTACCTTCCTCGTTGATAATATAGCCTTCATGGTACTACAGTACCATAATTACAAAAACCTTACTTTGATGTATTATGGTCTATGGTCTATATAATCATAGTTTTCTTAACAATCTTTTCACTAAAATCATTAATAATGTCTGAAAAGTCAAGTGAGTTTCACCAATTCATACTAAAACCTAAAATCTAAAATTAATATTATTTTTTCACTTTGGTTTTGTAATAACTATATGTAGGCTATTTTAATTTTAAATCTATGGCCCATTGTAAAATATTCTTCAATAAACAAACAAAAATTAAACATAACTAGGGCCGGGCCCCCAAGGGGCCCGGGCCCTGTGACTAGAGTTGCACCAGCCCCACCCTTGTGGGGGCCATGGTCCATGGTTGTTACTCACCAAAGCTCTTTACGGTCTTGTTAATGTTTGCTCTGTAGCCTTTGGAAGACATAGCTTGCTGTTGTGTCAGATGTTCTACACATCTCTGTTCAAACAAACCTACCAACATGGTTCATTGTTAGACAAGCATTTACTAAAGTAGTTCTGGGCTTGCACAAGACTGCTACTGCTATTGATTCAGTTGAACCCTTATCATAGCTATGAACCAGATTAAAAATACCACAATGTATGTAAACCTTAAGAATACAGCTGTCAGCTTAAGCTACCAACTGAGTCTTCTTTATTTCAGTGTCAGCATTCCATCATTGTACCTGTAAATACTATACAGGCTGTTTTATTTTTAACTTGCTTCTTTATTAATGTAAAAACTGCAATAGATAGAAATATGCAGTTTGTGGGAATCATGTATTGATGTAGAAGCCACAATTCAATTGTGAATTCAACGTTAAGTTCCCATTCACCACCTTTCTCCCCCCAACACCTTCAACCTACCTTCAACTTAACATTTTTAAATTACAAGGTACTCTTTTTGACATATTAGGGCATGAAAAAAAGAAATGATTGCCACAAACTAGATAGATGTTTCTACGTCAATCCTATCAAAAGTTATGGGAGTTCAAAATTTAAATTTTTCCCCACTTTTTTTTAACAAAAACACATTTTTTTAATATCTAAAGCTCAAAAACGTTAAGAGCTAGCAAAGATTTGAAAGAATTTTCATAGTCAGGAATTAAATTTTCTACAAAAAACACAAGCATTTTCCGAAAATCGCACTCCTTCACAACCAAAAAACGCCCTACTTCTAAAATTTGTAAAATTTCTCAGATTTTTTACGCGTTTTTTATTGAACAAGCATGCCAGCTACCTTTAAATAAAGATTGTTTAAAAAAGGGTTGGTGCAACAAAAGCTATGAGAGCATGGCATAGCACTTCTAACTATCCTACACAGATTTTCTTTTACCCTTGAATATATCTTTGGGGCACGACATACAGTCTCGTGGTACAGAAGGGAATGTTGGAATCTTTAAGGTGTATCTCGGCATTGTAAATAAGTTAAGGGGTTTTAATCAAGGGTGTAACAGATTAAAAAAACATAGGTACCCGTAGTGCTTGCATACGGTACGTTATTCAATGTGTGCGAGGAGGGATATCACTTTTCCCATCCCTTTGACACCTTTTATTTTCATTGGCTGTGCAATAATTCACTAATGAAAAAGAAAATCTATACCCAGCAAGATTTCTGTTGAGAATTTACACGTGACATCAAAAATCACAGTTGCAATTTTTTCATATTCGGCTTATGTTTTTAATTTCATCATATCGTATTAACTGAGGGCAATAACTAACAGATGCTAAATTGAAGAGACTCACCATAGGGTTCAACGGAGCGATCTAATCGAGATTCTATGAAAGCCGTGAACATGGTCGTTTCAGTGAACCAATCAAGGAAGCTCTGGACAGTGCTTGACGACACACTCTTGACAAATGCCTCCCTCTGTAAACAGTACATTTTACCAGTCAGTCAAGTAAACTAGCCAATCATCTGACTGAGTTGTGAATAAACAATATGCTCACCATAAAAGCAAAATAATCCATTGCGTTATGAGTACTTAGATAGGATTGCATTAATGCTTGCTTGGAACAAAATAAAGTTTTGGGATTCTGGTGTAAGTCTGCTTCATCTGTGAGTATTCAACAATGCAATTATTTGGTGATTGGAAATACATAGGAAGAAGGAATGGGTACACAACAACTTACCCCCCCCCCCCACCTCCCTCCAAAAAAAAGAGTTCCAGGAAGTTTAAAGCACACAATAAACTTATCGTGGTCTTCACGTTTTCAACTGCCTAGAATTGTTCTTTTGGGTAAGTTAGTAATGTATTCATTCTTTATTTTTTATTTCTTTATTGTATTCCTACGCCTTTTTTTATAAATAAAAAATAAAAACCAACCTTAGTGATTAGAAAGTGATGTGTTGGCAAGACTGAGTTAGACAGTTCAATAAAGGTCAGTTTTGTAAAAGTCAATATACTAATGTCTTCTGAAGAAGATCCTTGAAGAGGCACCATTTTATTGTGTGCTGTCAACGGCCTGGAACTCTTCAAGTGTATAAAGATATGTATAAATTCCTTCTTTCTTCACACTTTTAAGCCCTTTTTTGTCCTAGGATGCTAGGCACGAGCCCGGGATTTTTTTACATATTACTTCAGGCTAGACCTAGGGGTTACAGCATTATCACTTAGATAAAATCCATTTGTAATTTGGCAGGACTTTAGCCCAGGACCTCATGGTCAGAAATAACGCCAACTCAAACTAACCTGAAACTCGCGGTGGCCGGTGCCAGACGAGGTAATGATGTGATCCCTGTAGTGGCCGATGAGTTGTACAAACAGCGCAATGAGTGCTTCAGACGCGACCAGGTTGTGCGCAGGTGACAGCGGAGAGTTCTTGTCAGGTACGGCACACAACAGCGCTTCCCGCAGTCCACGGCTCAGCTTGGGTGGCAACACTGTACTCTCATCTCCACAACTCTGCAGTACCTTACTCTCGTCTACGTCAACCACCAACACCTGTGCGTTAAAAACATTGACGTTTTACATTTCCTATCTTCGATAGAAATACTAACTTTATACAAGTTGGTTCAATCCAATCCCATTATGGATTATGGACCAAAAACCATTCTTGTCATGGGGCTGTTTAGCAAAATTTTGACATAAGATGACAGATAGTAACAAGACGTGAGCTTGGACAGATCACTCACAAAAGCGTGAAATCCCGATCGGTAAAACAGAAAAACCATAATAAAAAGGTTAGTAATGGTTTATTTGTCATTCCAGTCCATAGTAAGTATCAGTGGGTTTATCATAGTTAAGGAGCTATTGCATCTTCCACAACAGAAAATTAAAAGATGAAGGTCATGTTTTTTTCTGTAATCTGTAAGATATGAATGTTGGATGTCCGTACACTGTATGACGTTTTTATCTTCTGTTGAAACAGTATCTAATAACAAAATTATGAAACATACCTTTCTTTAAATGGATGTCTCTATATACAATGTATAATGATAATTATTATATTTGGGTTTTTTGTGTTATTTTTACTATGTTTGCTCTTTCGCTTAACTGAATTATTTTTTTATATTTTTTTGACTTCTGAGGATTAGGCATGTTAATTAAAGTAATTATTACTGAGTTGTTATCTCATCTTAAGTCAAAATCAAATTCCAAATTCCAGTCAATAGAGAACACAAAACTTATTTCTTTAATATTTTTGAATAGGAAATTCCAGCAGGATTTTATTTCCATTTAAATAATTTTTAGCTTGCTCAATTATCAGAAAACATGTTTAATTATTCTGAGGAAACCTAACAAACTTACCTGATCAATCATAGAAAACACAACAGGATGTGGTGCATTAACATCTCTTTGCTTGAGTAACCCGACCACGTACGGTGTAGGTGCCTGGCACACATCTAGCATGTTGCCTGGTACTATAGGAACCAATGTGTGCTGCCAATGGAACGGATACAGAGCAGCGCAAAGACCTTCGAAACACGTGGACAGCTTGCTGTATGTAGACAAAAAACGTAAGTTACGACAAAAGAAATTTACATTACGCAAGTTTAAAATATATTTGTTTAAAATAAAGATAAATTGAATGAGAACCCTACTACAGCATTGTCGTTACAGCTTATAATAAATTAATTACTTTTACAATGTGAGCAGACGGCAAGCAGCCTCGAAGTAAGCAAGAGTTGTTTGAATGGGTTATCAAAGGAATATTAAATATAAATAAATACATTCATAGTATTCAGTTTAGTACAAAACAACATAAAATTAATGACTTTGAATCAGTATCAGTTGGTCTAAATAACCATAAAATTAACAAAATTGAAAATACTAAGTTTCTTGGTTTAACAATTGATAGTAATTTGAGTTGGGATCACCACATTGAACAAGTGGCTAAAAAGGTTATATCTGGATTATTTGCTCTTTACAAGCTATCAAAAGTATGCAATCTAGAAACCTTAAAAACTGTTTACTATGCATACATACATGCAAATATCAATTTTGGAATCTGCCTGTATGGAGCAACGACTAAAAGTAATTTAGATCGTATTCTGATTTTACAAAAAAGGGCTTTAAGAATAATGCGTAATCTAAAATGGCGAGACACTGTCAAAGAGCATTTCAAAAATTTTGGCATCATCACTGTTTATAGTTTGTACATTTATGAAGTGATCATGTATTGTAAGCTTCACTTTGATGAATTGGGTTTACTAGGGGAAAGTCATTCTTACAATACTAGAAATAGGCTAAACATATCAATGCCTATTCACAAACTAGAATTTTACAAAAAGAAAACTAAACTACATATGCTGGAGGAAAATTTTATAATAATTTACCAGATAACATTAAAAAAGAAGTTAGTATTATTAAGTTTAAAAAATTGTTAAAGAATTATTTAATTTCAAGACCACTGTATTCATTGGAAGAATTTTAGTATGTTTAGTTTTTAATTTAGTCTTATGACTATGACAACATTTTTGACGCAATTCTATGTACTAATTTCATGTACAATAATGAAATAAAGAATGTTTGAATTGAATTATTATGTATGTTGTTTCATTATATTCCTTTGTTCCTTTTTTTAAAGAATTTCCCATGGAATAAGCTATTACCGTACGTCTCATGGTAAGACCTGGGCCCGGGATCGATTTACTTTTTCGTTTTTAGGTCTCAAGAAACGGCTTAATATCTTTTTAACTAAATCAGGTATAAAATTCAAACCTTTCACATAAACTTATATGTATGAAAACTACTCTTTCCAAGCATACCATTTTTTCACCTTCACCAGGAGTAGGTACATAATCGTTAATGTAAGCATTGGTTGATATGCACTTCATTTTAAAGGGCTGGTCAAATGGAGTTCAGTGGAAATCCTACCAGACAAATGGAAATTTTCTTAGTCCGCAGGTCTGCTGTGGCAGGGGTATTTCTTTTTTGTTATTATAGTTTAAATGTAAATTAAATCATCGTCAAACATTATAAGTCAACCAATAAACATAATAAGAAACAAGGACACAATCAATTTGCAGAATAAATGGACTATAAATGAAACTGTAATAAAAGAAATTAGTTCTAGTTTAGAAGAACTAAACTTGTACATACTGGTTTTAGATGCAAAATAATCAGTAAAAATTGTTCAGGAAAGATAACACACCTGATTGAGTAGCTTAGCAGGATCACTTTACGCTCTAGAAGCAGAGTGGAGAAGAGCTGTATGAAGACAGAGTGGCGAACTAGGTTCAGCAATCTTGCGATGTCTGTTTCCTCTTGCCTAGGGTCCAGCTTCCTCGGTAGGATCTCAACTCTAAAACCACAAATAACATGTGAAACACTTAATTTTTTGCTGTGTTGTTTCCGGACCAACCAATTGACATGAAATGGTTCAAATACCTGGTTGTCGCCTTGTGGTCCAAGTTTGTCCTACTGGATTATGTGTATTTTGGCGCGAACGCGATCGTCAAATCTGTAAAAGAACTAATAAGTAATCTTCCCTGAAGAGGTGCGTCAAAAGTTCACAGCACAAAAACACTGGTCAACCGTCATTTAACAGTTTTTCTTTATACGACGTGTGCAGGGGCAGGATATGGAGGCGCGCCAGACGTGTGTCGAGACTCGACTGAAGATCTGATCTTTGTCTTCATGACGTGGTGAGGCAGCATTGTTTGGGCTGTTGTCTAGTTGTAAAATGGTTTCAAAAAGAATGTGGGATTGCAGGATGTTTTTGTAACAGGTTATTTGTATAATTTTGGTGACTGCAAATTTCGAACTGTTCCATTGCAGTCATTGTGCGGTCTTTTTCGCCAATATGTAAAGGATTCAAGTTGTTTGTTTGTCTGTATAACTGTGGTTACTGGTTAGTGGTAACTAAATGGTTGGTAACATTTTGATTTTTGGAGGATGGTTTTCTTGGAAAGGTGTTCTTTGAATTTTTTAATAGAGGGCTTTTGCCAGTTTGTCCAAAGTAAAATTTATCTCAGTCATCACAAGTCATTTTATTTTATATACTCCTGTTTTTTGACATACATCCTGTAGGCTACTGTATTTTTTACAGAAAGGAGATTTTGGAGTTTGTTCAATGCTTAGAAAGCTACAATTTTCCCATGTTTTTTTATTTGATTTTTAAGAGTATGGGAGAGTTTAATCCCCCCCTTTTGGATTAGGCTTTTTTATTTGTTTATCAATCAATTTATGAATAAGTTTAGGGCTGTATCCATTAGAGACGGTATTGTATTTTATTATGTTCATCTCTTTTTCATAATCATCAGAGTTTAGAGGGACTGTGAGCATTCTATTCAATTGAAACTATTGTACGCTGCTATCTTGTGTTGGAAGGGGTGATAGGAAGTTCATGAATGGTGATATCAGTTGCTGTAGGTTTCCTATAGACGTTAAAATGTAATCTTATCTTTTGTTGTCTAGTTTAGTATCTATATATATACCTATATAAAAAAAATAAAAAAATAAAACAGCAATTGTAGACAAATGTTGAGTATATAATTAAGTGACACAAGAACCATTGAGTTTGGACGAGCCTTATGTGTTCCAATTATCCTTGTAACATGAACATTGATAAAATTAATTTCTATCAAGAACAAGTGTTTGATCAACAAGCAGTTTGCATTGGACAAGGTGGTGAATAACTACTATATCTTCTCTGCGTTCTCTTCCTGTTCTGAATACCTCTTCTTGTTCTGCGAGGCACGGGCAGAACAACTAATTCAAAATAAAATCATAAATTAGTTTGTTTTGCCTTGGTCCAAGCTAGATTTTTGTGCAGTACAGTATTTATAAAGTTTCGTGGACAGGTATTTTGGTATATAAGTTGGAGGTATCTTAAGAGGTTAGATTGTGTCTGTCATTTGGTTTTTTGTCTTGGATTCTACATACTAGATCAATACTATTTTTAGGCTGTGGGAACATTCTCAAATGTGACATTCATTTTGATAATCTTCTCTAATCTTTTTATTCAAATCCGATGATGGCATCTGTGCCGAAATACACATAATCCAGCAGGATAAACTTGGACACAAGGTGACAATCAGGTATTTTAATCTATTTAAAAAATTTCTAATATAAAAATATTAGATTGAACTTTGCTACATGGTCAATTTTTAAGCATATATTTTTATTAGGCTCCATTAATCTGATCAAGGTGAATAACTAATGAACAACAATCTGTGAACAGTAAATATATCAGTTAGGAAAATAATAGGAATCTTTTACATAAGCTCTAAGTTTAATGATGCTACATGCACCAATACACAAAAATATTTGCCCCTAATGACAGAAATCAGATACATAACAGGCTCAAGGACCATTAGAAAAAAATAAAAATTTAGTAACTCCTGACATGCAAAGATCTCCTTATGGAGAAAATTTTAACAACTTCTTTTACATTGTATTATGAAAGGACACCAGAAGTGTTGGTAAAAATAGTAACCAGGTGGTTTTGCATATATTCAGGACGTTCTCTTCTTATGCATACTTGCCATTAAAAGCATTGTTTTATTGGTCGAGAGTTAACAAAAGAATATATTTAATAAACCCTCATAGCTTAGGCCCTGTACACATGAGGGCGGCAGCCGCCGCGGTTGCTATTTCGCGGGAACCGCGGCGGTTGAAAGTACAAAGGAGCAAATGGGACCGTTCACATGCAACCGCCCACTTCCAGTCAACCGCAACTAACAGCGGCGGTCGTAGATTTCCCTTCGACCGCCGCGGCTGCCGTGCGGTTGGAGTTACTTGAGTTGGCATGAGAGCGTACACATGAGGGCGGTAGCCGCCGCGGTTGACTTGCGGTTGGTACTAGGTTCACACAGTCACACGCATCTGCGCGCTCGCCCTGTGGACGTTATTTTTTTTCATTTTTAAGGTGTTGTCGTATTTTTCACAATCACAAGGTCATGTTGTTAAAGCTTTTGTACTTTGCAAAAGATTTTTTATAATTTTTATTACTTAAGAATAAATAAATACCCTAATGCAACGACAAGCTTTTCTTCTGGCAAAATCCCATCCCTCACTGTCTTTTCACTAGGTTATAAGTGATCTTGTACTTGTAATATTTCATTTCATTTATTCATTTTTTTTGCATTAAGTTTCTTAAAATGTTAACTTCTATTTATACACCTTTCTTGTTAATCACTCCTCAGAAAGGCTGGCCTAATATTAATTTTCCTAATTTATATAATGTAATTAATCTGTTCAATTAATCATTAATAATATTCATTCCATAGCCTATATATTTTTTTTACAAAGACCACAACTTAATCATTCATTAAATATGTAGGAGAATTGCAATATACCAAAATTTCTTATAATATCATTTCAAAATTAGTCCTTAAGGAATCAAAATTCAAGAAGCAGTGAAATAATGATCCATGTGTTCAACAATGAATTATGTGAACATTGAGATGGAGAGAGAAGGAAGCCATAGTGGAAGTTAAAACTGTTAAAAGAAGAGTCCAGATTTTATCTAAATTAAATTAATTAAATATCGTCAAGAAAACCAGTTTTATGTTCAAGTTATCACAGCAAACCTCAAGAGGACTTAACTCCAACATTATTTTCAAAATTAAGTATAAACTTTTCTTTTAAACTCTTTTAAATTCAGTGTATATTGGACTTACCTTTTTGGACAACATCAAAATTTGATTTTTCATTGTTGGGATTTTTAAGTTTAACTTCTTAATTAGGCCAATTTGGACACTATTTAATTTATTAATTCTTAGCATTCAAGCCAGCACGGCACCCTACCCTGAGATATAACTTAGCACATCTAAATTAAAGAACCTTTATTTCAAACTTATCTTCTATTTCATTTTAATTTCAACCCCCACTCGCCATTGTCAGTCCTTTCATTATAACGTTAAGCCTTTTAAATTTCATTGCATGTTTGTTCATTTGTTTCAATAAAACACCTTTTGTAATTCGTATTATCTTTGTTAACTTATTAACTTTAAACATTTATGGAACAGGCCTAGCCTAAAATGAATATTGTGAGGTGAGTTTACATTTGAGCCAACAGTTCATCGAAAGATTTTACACTCATTCGAAAGTAGTTAAAGAACTTAGCAGGGTATTCTCTTAATTTTGGGTACAGAGTAAAGAATGAACCCAAGGTTAATGTGTCGTCTATTACAGGGTGCACCCACCATCTTCTTTGTCGTCTTCGCCTTGCTCTTAACCTTCGATGCAATAACCAAAGGCAGGTTAACTCTTCCAGCTCTATAACTGTACTGGCTGTTTTGCCCGAGGGTTTCGAGGAGCCAAAAATCACACCACAACCGCGGCGGCAGCCGCCGCGGCTGCCGCAGCCATGTACGGTCCTCTGCGGCCGCCGCGGCGGCTGCCGCCCTCATGTGTACAGGGCCTTAATTAATGTTGTTCACAACAGTCATAAACATAAGTTGTATCTTTATCTTTATAAGCCTAATCTGCAGCTTGATTTAAACTGAATAATATGGGATTACAGATCATATATTTTTCACTACAAAGACAATTTAATCAGAACGTTTATTGTTGTAACAATATTAAATCTACATACGTTAAACCTGCCTGGGTAGCCGAGTGGTGCTTGCCTTCCAATTTCAAAGTTAGCTGTTTCACAAGCTGGGTTTATTCTTGAACTAAATACCATTGTCATCAATTAATAATGCTCTCTAACAAAAGATCGACATTATATTGTAACAAGACCATGGTTTGGGCTATTCCTTCTAAAAGTTTTTTTTTTTCATACCACTGACATGAACAAAAATGAAATAGTTGTACTCACTTGTCTCTAGTAATAGGTTGTGTGACACGCAGCCCCTGCCCAGGCGCTGGGAACGGACACTCGTACAGCTCGTGTATGAATGAGGACAACTCTTGCTCAGGCTGTCCGTGCCGCGACTCCAACTCTTTTAGGACCTAAACATAGTTTTATAAACTTACAAAAGATAAAAATCCATTTTATAGCCCCAGGTCCTTTTTCCAAATAGGCTTCTAAGCCCAGGCTTTTAAGACCTCCAAAGTCTTAATTTTCGGCAAAAAAATTGCGCCGACTAGTTTTGTTAACATTATCAAACATTAAACAAAAAATAAAAAACTGGTGTTTAGATAATAAAATGCAGAATGTTCAGTCAAATAAACTGGACACACTGGTCTGGCATGTGAACCGTGCTTTTAATGACAGCAGGTATATAACTACTTGATCACTTTGAATAGCCTACTTCAATTGTTAACTTCCTTGATTACAGTATATTTGATCAGGTTAACATCTCAAAACTAGCATTGATGAATGCAGCTAGGTTTGTAATTGATTATATACCAACAAAACATATATTTCTACAGCCTAGGCCCTCTAAGGGCCCTATGAGTCAAGAGGGTAGACCTCACCTGAGAGAAGTAGTAGTTTGCCTTGTAAGGGCTGACAATACAATATGCTAGAGGCAGACAGATGGGGGCTCCCTCAGGCTGTACTCTGCGACAGTAGCCGTATTTGCGTGTGCCACTAGAGTGAGTGATGACCACACAGTAACAGCGGCTAGAATCGTCTTCTACACCAGCCTGGGGCGGCCAGTCCTCGGCATCAGGGAAACACAGATATTCTATCCCTCCTGGCACCTCCACCTGTCAAAGTAGTATATACAAGGAGTGTGTAAGATACTATCTGGAGAGCTGGTCTAGTAGTAAAGCTTGTACAGTGGAGCTTCAATTATCCTAAGCCCGGTCATCCAAAACGTCAGTTGACCAAAAGGCAGAGACAGCAAGATATGCTCACAGATATTGCCACAGTCACAGGAGACGATAAATAACTTGTAAAAAATTACACGGAAACTGTAATAATAATTTTAAAGACTATCAAGCAAAGTTAAAATATTGTATTGTATTTTAAATTTCCATGGCTAAATAGCTATGTGTAATGCTAAAGAAATCTGTGTATACCCCAGCCGATCAATGTATTATGGCCTAGCCTAGGTAGTAATTTGTAAAATGGTTCCATGCTAGAACCTAGAATCCTAGGGTTGATGGTAGAACATAAAATGTCTGTATCTTACCTGTGTGTATATAGATATATGTTGATTGGAAAATATGGAATATTTAGCTTTTATACTTATACATTTTCAATGAAATGGCGACCATACAAAGTAGCTATTTTAAGCCAAGTATGAATGGAGATGAGTGTAGGATGAGTGGCGCGATCTTGTAATCTTGTTAGTAACTAAGGCAGACTTATTCCTTAGACACAGCTGTTAATTAATAACCCATACAGCTAATGGCAACTAAGGGGTTTACAGTTTATAGTGGAATCCGAACCACATTTTTGCCTTGGTAAATACGAATTGGTATAATTTTCAGGATAGTACTGAGGATAGTCGTAGTACTCACTCGTCCGGACGTTAATCCACACCAGGGAGTATTGCATCCACAATCCTATAAAATTCCACAATTCGTAACCTCCTAGTAGCTGGATTACAGGACGACGCCACCCGCCCCAGTTTTTGTGAATAAACACTACCTACTAAATGTAAATAAAGAAAATAAAAAATGTTAATTTTACCAATGAACTAAGTCACACTACCATCAATAGTGTAATTAGATAGTCCTGTAGTTAAAGGCATCTACTGTTAAATAGTGCAACAGAAAACTATTAAAAGTTATCTACACTACACTCACATCTGCTGGATATCTGGCTTTTATATAAGGCACTTTACAGCGAGAAGAGTTGAGGTTGAGGCCTACGAGAAGTAAATACTCAAACAGGTGAGATTCTGGTACTATGGACGGGCGGTGGAATGAGCGTGCTCGGCTGCACACTCGTTTCAGATAAGTCTTGCGCTCAGCAGTCCTCTGTTGACGGTGCTTTTGAGCTTCTTCTGTAGGCAAAAAATATACTTAAGTATTGCTGATCAAATAAAAGATAATGAATTTTTTTTTTTTACTTCCTCTCTCGATAAGTACTGGGCCAACGAAAGGAAGCCAACAAAGTAGGTCTAAAGTACTGCAAATTTGAACTAGGGATCTGGACCAATAAGATGGCAGATGTCGTGTTTAAAGTCTTCAATGCTCCTAAAATACAATCAATTCAAAAAGTATATTTATAGTAACATTGATGTATCCAAGCTATGTTAGGCAAGATGCTGGATCAGTCTGAAGCACAACAAACAGCAAAATCAAGGAGGCAATGTTATGGGTTTGTATATTAAATTCGCCACTTTGTTAAACTGTTAAATATTCTTCCATTCTGCTCATCCCATGCTCGTGTAGATACGGTAAACGTTCTAGATATTCCACAGATAATATTAAATTTTTTTGAAGTCTTTCAGGTTTAGAGAAAAATGAATCATTTCATCATCATTATTGCTATCATGACTTTGAAACAGTGACTCACATATAGGTACATATTTAAGCTAAATAATATAAATGAGAGATTGGAAGTGTTGCTAGACTAGTGGTTAGCATCTCGAACATCAGTGCGGAAAGTATTGGTTCAATTCCCGGGATGTCCACAAACATTTATTGGGTTTGGACCGCTTTTCCTTAAAAGTGTTTGTGTTACCTTTTTTTTAAATGAAGACACATACTGTACCAAAAAAAAAAAGAGTAGAATGAGATAATCTGTGCAGCTTCATCAGTGACTTAAAGATCAGTGGTATCTGTAACCAGGATGATTTATAAAGTCCTAATGACTAAAGACAGTCGTGTCCATTTTCAAACCAGCAAAAAAGTAGCCTACAAATATTTCTGGGTTGAAAAGGGTCTTGAATAATGGTGAATAAATAAATAGCTAAAATAATAGTGATCAGTTTCCTTGTTTACCTGGTGAAGATATTTTGGGAGGACAAGAGTCGTCTGGTGTGGAGGCGACAGATTCCGAATCACTGTCTTGAGGCATTGCGAGGCATTTGCTGTAAACCTCGTTTACCATTTTTTGAATCTGTCAAACAAAATTATTTATTCAAACACTTTTCAAAAGTTACAGGTTGAATTAAGGTTAGTTCTATTCTAATGTGTAATGTTTTTTTTTATGTGAACTACTATAACTTAGAGGTTGTAAGTATTATAATAATATATTTTGATAAACTTGGTTTCTACAGCTTATTTAACAGGTCATTCATTAACATTACTGTAATTCCAAAAATTATGCTTACTCACGTGATGTGATTAGTTTCATTAGATATTGAATGAGTACTTCAAATTAACTAAAATATACTGCATAATATCTACTGCAATAATGTCTTTAGGGCCGTTGTACTATAAAACATTCAACATCAGTCGAGTTTTGCATCATAATTAACATCCTTTTTCAGAATCGGTATTGAGTACAACTAAGCGAAGTATCGAGTATCAGCAATTTTTCTGGTATTGAGAATCGGAATCAGCACATCTCTATTTTTTTCCCAATGATACACTAAGTGTTTACCAAACTTGCATTACCTTCTGGTTTTCAATGTTGAGGTCTCCATGAGAAAAGTCTAGGCTGTAACTTCTAGCAGACGAGTTCCTAGTGTGTGTATTGTCAATGTCCAAACTCAGACTTCTAGAAGGAAAACTTTTTGCTCCACTTTTTTCAAACAATCTCTTTTGAGCGACAAGACTTTTTTCAGGAGACGGAGTTTGGGTTGGACTTTGCAGCAAAGGCACTTTCTCCCAGACCGGAGAAGACTGAAACAAAAAGTTATAGAGAATTTGATAACTTCTTGATCCGTAAAGAATTAGAGAAAATGTTTGTCAAAGATTTTTGCAATCAGGTTCCAAGCCGAGAGTTTTCCGATCAATCACTTGACCATCAAAGGCAGTAAAAGGAGAAACTACAAGTACAGTTGCCAATAAAGGAAATTTGTTATTCATCCTGAACTAGCATACAGAAAAGTTGGTGACATAGATAAAAAACAAATGTCCAATAATGAAATAGGCCTAATTGATTTATAAAAATGTTGGTGTTGGAATTAAAATTAAATGCCAATAGTTGCAAACCCGACTTCTCTGTAATTCATATATTTTAATAGGGTAAAAATTTCTGTGTCATCTAGTAGGAAACCTTACTCAACTAAGTCTAAAAAATATAATCCAGAGTAGGCCTAGAAAATGAAACCCCCGAGGCAATAAATCCTATAAGAGTAATAACAAAATCCTTCCCATTGATTGTTGTACATTTGAACCTCTATACATTAACATTCTGTATTTTGGTAACAGGCAAAACAAAGATTTATTTGTAACCATTATAGATGTATTAATTTGGAGACATAACTTTGTATGTAAATGATTGTAAATGAATGCATTTAGTCAATTGCCACCCCCCCCCCCCCCCCACGTACATAATATGGAGAAAGTATTTTTTTTTTTCAAACCCCAAACCACTGTTTTTGTCAAAACCTAAAATTTAATGGTATCTCCAGGTGTTTAATTTTTTTTTATTGTGATTTTCAATACCTCACAAAATAGGTAACAGAACTCCCTTATTTTTTAAAAAAATTGACAAAAAATTTAATTGAAATTTATAAAAATAACTTTGTTTAAGTATAATCCTTTAAATCCTGAAAAAGTTGCCCTGTTAAAAATGAACTGTAAAAATGAATTTAGTTCTAAAGTAATTACAATTTTTCGCACAAAACCCATACAATTACATAACAATGTACACCTGCTCAGTATTTAATTATTTTAAATTTGTGCTCTTAAAAGTTCTGTTGTACAACTTTATTTTTTTCTCTCTTTTTCTTTTTTATTCACCATTAAGTAGGTCTAATACATGATTACAATAGGCTTCATCAGTTATTGAAAGACATTACCAAGATAATAGTAATAACAAAGTAAAACCAATATAGATTAAAAATAGTAACAACAAAATAAATAAACAAGTCATTAAAACGTTTACAACAAAAAGACATTTGAAAACACATAGTAAATAAAGGACCCAACACTTAGTTTACACTATACTTATATCACATTCTAAAAATTCCTTTATAGAAAAAATTTGTGACTAATAAGCCAATCATGAATCTTATTTTTAAATGATTTTAAATCTAACAAATTAAATAATTCTGGAATTTTGTAAAAAAAAATATTTGATGATATTTGTAACTCTTTGCATACTTTTCTAGTCTTAAGATTGGTAAAACTAATTTGTTTGAATTTCTTGTTTAATAATTATGAATGTCACTAAAACAATAAAAGTCTGTTAGCCTACTTATAGGATGTTCTATTTTAATTTCAAGGCAATGGGAGAAAGTATGTGTCAGTTTGCTGTACTGGTGTATATTTGACCTCTTTTTGATAGGAAGTGTATTGAGTTTGTTTAGAATATTGAACAGTTTAATATTTTTATCTCCATTTCATAGTGAAAAAAAGACCACACTGTTTTAGTGTTCTAATAAAGTTGAAAAACTAATCACCGTGCTTGGTACCATCAACAAAAGTTATACAATTGACAACTATTAGAGTGGTGATGAATGTTTTATATGAATACCATTTAACATACACGCCTAGGGGTGTTAACAGTATAAAATACTACAATTGGGTTTATTAAATTAACTTAGCCTATATGTTTTACTTACATGAGACATGTTTTGAAATCACTTGAGAAGTAAAATGTACAACCTTGATTTGAGAGAATGAATTTTCACAAGTATAGAAGAGTAAATACAATAAAGTCTTATCTGCTATCAGTAAACATCAATTTCCTACATTAGCATCTAACCAACTTTGATGTATTACCTTTTTGCTCATGACAAAAGCGTTGGGTTTGAGAATATATTTTAATGTTAGCCTAGGCCAAAGTACTTAAAAGTTTTAGGTTCAGCCTTATTTTTTCAGAAACTTATAGATTTATTTTCTTAGGTTGGCCTTTATCCCGTTTTGTCTTTTATTATATGTGTCCCGGAATATGTCCATTCTCAACCAAAAAAATGGTGTCCTCCTCTTACTAATACAGTAACGTACTAAAATGACTAAATTGACTAATGCAAAAATAAGAAAAACACCTGTTGTGCGCAATTCTTGTTGAACTCACTTAATACTGCAAAGTTTCACCCAAGTCTAACACCATTATTTATGATGGGCCTTGCACTCCAGCTAAGCTACACATTATTTCAATATCGATTGCACATGTACAGGATTTGAACCCGCCCCTGTAGAAAGACCACAACGCTACACTCTTCAGTACAATGCCTTAGCCAACTGCGCCTTACCATACCACTGTCGGCGTAACGGGTCGATTAGCCTACCAGTATAAGCATGCAGCGACACTAGCGCTCGCAGGCTAGATTCGACAAACTACTTGAACGCCAGTGGGCAGTATGGCTATCTCCCCACAAAATGCGGTGACGGGCTACACACATGAGTAGTTTTCAATGGGTCAAGAATAAAACAACGAGTAGGCCTATTTAGATTAGTTTGACCCCCTCATTAATTTGAACCCCTTTAAAACTGAATTTGCTTATTCCGGCCGGTAAAATTCAACATCAGTTCATAAACCTCGTACGACTAAGTCAGACATATGTTGAGTAGCATGTTGTTTAGTAACATGCAGTAAAACCTGGCAATATCAAACGTAATGTCTGACACTCATATTTGTAACTAACTTCCAAATGGTAAAATTGTCATGGTTGTAGGCCTAACTTTCATTTAAGTAGTTCGAAAATAGTCAGGGTCTGACTTAGGCTAACAAAGAACACAGTGAAACCTCACTAACTCGACAAGTTGTGAACGCAGAGGTTTTCGAGTTTGGGATTGTCAAGTTATCCAGAACATTGATATTTTTAATGGGTTTTAATAAATAAATAGGTCCCTACACTACCACCTAATTTCTACTTAAAAATGTATTACTTAAGCGTGAGTATTTTTATATAGCCGATTTAGTTTTAAAACAATATCCTCAAAAAATTACAAATATTTAGCAGTTGAAACTAGGCTAAATGTTCTGAAAAAATTGCTTGAAAGTCAAACACGCTAGAGAGACAAAGCCGGCTGAAGTGAACCATGTCAGCTGCTGACTTACTTAATACTTGTAGGCCTATGCTAAGTCGTTGACCGACAATGTCGAATAGACTGCATCGATATATACATTTAAAAATATAATACTACTATTTACATATATACAAAACTTAACCAGGCTGTAGCGGTAGATAAAGCAATCAACACAGTTTTGGGGAAGGGATTCTACGTAACTCTTAGGTGCTCTTCACTCAGCTCCTCCAACGAGTACATTGGCCTATTTACTTAGCTGTTTCTAACTGCCACTTTGAAAGAGGTGATGTTCATCTCCCAAACCTTATCCGGCAAGGTGTTAAAAAGCCTTATGGCTCTTATGGGTGCGGGTGGGACGACATTGCGGCATGTCAAGGTGTAGTACTTGCCGAGTGTCATAGCGGACGTTTGAGTTACACAGACTGTTGAGTTCCCGGGTGTCAAGTTAGTGAGGTTTTACTGTAGCAACAACTATTTCTGACAAATGCTAGAGGTTGTAGTCCGTATAGCGTCTATAGAGTCATACCTACAGACAATGCTTTAGACAATTAGATAAAAACAGCTTCAAAGCCCTCCAAAAACAATATCTCCATCAGTGCTATGAGCGTAATTGAGGTTCCTTTTCTGAGAGCCTAACATGCTGCTGCCAAGACCAATATCAACCTTAGTTACCTTATAGGGATCAAGTTATTGGATCCAAACAGCTGCAGCGCCAGTTAGGCCTACAGTAGGCTTTTGCTTGCCTAAGAAATATCCCTAGACACCATTTCCGGACAAGAATGGTATTTACAACAAAGTAACAAAGCATTGTCTATTTTGCTCTTTTGAGTGTTATAAAGTGGATTACCTACTCTGATAGTTTTATTTATTTAACCATCCTGCTTTTGTTGTTTGCTTGCTCGTAAAGCCCCACAACCAATTAAAACACCTCAGTGTCTGAGTATCACACTGTTAAAAGAATTGATATTTGAATAATAATTAAAGTAGGCCTACTGATCTTTCAATAGTCTGTAAGGGTTTTATTTTTAGAAGGATATTATTTTAATTCGAAAGACGATTGTACAGTATTTTAGTTAGAAGACGATTTTATTTCATTTAGAAGGAAATATTGTTTTACATAAGGATATAGTTTTATTTTTGTAAATATAAATATAATTTGAACCCGAAGGTTTATGTATTATTTCGTCAAGTATAAACACTTAGTTTATAACAGAAGAGTATTTTGTTCTTAAAGCCAAGGTATATTTATTATTTCGCCGAGTATAAATACTTAATTTAAATCAATAGAATATTTTGTGTTTAAAGCCGAGGCGGGCTTTGTTGTCGTCGGGTCGTATCAGTTGTTAGGAGCGATAAGGCGCGGACGAACACGCACCAACGAGTTGCCCGTCCAAGCGCGTTGCAACCTGCACTCCCGACCTTTGTACTGAGGTATGGAAAATTCCTGCCCCCACGGGAGGGTATAAAGGGCTCTGGGTACGGTGGTAAGACAGTCAAGACCCAGCACTCGTACGGTGCGGGTTAGGCGAGTGCAGCAGTACATGCTGCACCGCTAACACGGAGTAAGGTAAGTTTAGGGAAACGTGTGCAATAGTATATATTGCACCGTACGATATTAAAGCGAACGGTAGGGAAGCGCGTGCAATAGTTATATATTGCACCGCACGGGGTTTAGAATAGGCGTTAGGGATTTCGGCCCGCGTTTATTTTACCCAACGACGATATTCGGCCATCGAGGCACTAACTTAAGCGAACGGTAGGGAAACGTGTGCAATAGTTATATATTGCACCGGACGGTTAGGTTGCGTGTGCAATAGTTATATATTGCACCGCTTGGGGTTAGAATAGGCGTTAGGGATTTCGGCCCGCGTTTATTTTCGGCCATCGAGGCATTATCCGGCTCAAAGGACCAAAATTTATTCCCGATCGATTACTAGGTCTGTGATAGCTGTGATGAAAAGAGTTGTATTGGAGTAAGCTTTTGCTTGACTCACACTCATTTCTGAGCTTAGACTTAGTATTTACGTACAAATCGAACCTTGGACGAAATTACCCACGCTTCGACTGTTTTATCCGGCAAACTTTATTTGTGAGATACGTTTTTCGACACCCCGGTAATTTTAACCTCACATTTTGGCGCCCGAACAGGGACCTTGATAGGTCATCGCACGATCGAGATCCGAAACGATGGAGTTAGATATTTTGAAATTTTGGCATACCTTATGGTACATCGTTGGTTTGAAGTTAATCTGGAGATATATAGTAGAGGGTGATGGCGCCGGTAAGAAATCAGAGGCGAGCCCTACGATTGATCCGACTACGACTAGCGAAACCCCAGTAGTAACGACTACTATAACGACCGCATCGACTGATCAAACTCCGCGTGTTAGTTGGGTATATAACTTAACAAAGCCCCAACTACAAGCAGAGCTTCCTAAATATGGTTTACCGACTGAACGGCCTGTCACAGAGTTGAGGGCAGAACTCGTGAAACTTTGTCATGAGGGTGTTTGTCGACGACGGTCCCTAGTGAAGGAAAAGAGATTACATCCCCAAACAAACGCTCGGGGTTAGAATAGGCGTTAGGGATTTCGGCCCGCGTCCATATTTTACCCTACGACGACTTTTGGCCATCGAGGCATTATCCGGCTCAAAGGACCGAAATTTATTCCCGATCGATTACTAGGTCTGTGATAGCTGTGATGAAAAGAGTTGTATTGGAGTAAGCTTTTGCTTGACTCACACTCATTTCTGAGCTTAGACTTAGTATTTACGTACAAATCGAACCTTGGACGAAATTACCCACGCTTCGACTGTTTTATCCGGCAAACTTTATTTGTGAGGTACGTTTTTCGACACCCCGGTAATTTTAACCTCACAAGTCTAGTTAGCCGATATCACATTTCAGTAAAAAACATCCTTTAAAAACATAATAGAGACATGCTACCAACTGGTTTCAGACGAATAAACATTTTTGCTGCTGGACTTGTCAAACAAAAGCCTATTTGACCAATAACCACTAATTGAAACAAAATAATTTATAAGTTTTGTAGTAAAATGAACATAAAATAATAGGTACTGTACAAAAGTTTCAACCAATCCCTATAAATAATTTTACCTAATAAAACATCTTTGAAAAATTATGCTATAGCCTATCACAGAGAAGTAAGAAACAGAGGATATTTAATGGTACACTAAAGTGGTGTGCAGTAACTGGTGTCTAGAGCAAATTCTATTTGTAGTCCTTTCCCCCTTGCAATCACGTATAGTTGGCACAGAACGTAGAGAGACACCTCTTCAGGTAGAACGGGCCGTCCTAATCGGTCCTAATCCTCTGTTTACATACCCCTAGCCTTCGTTCGTGGCGTTCACCCCTGACTGACGGAATTCCAAGAAAATCTGCGTCTCACTATAATTTGCAATCAATTGATACATTAGACCTACATAAACGAATGACGGCTCATTTTTTTCGTCTTACTTAGACAAATAAAAAGCGATTTTAATCACAGTTCTACGATGTACCGTTGCCGAAATAACGCAGTTTTCGCCTAACTTACTATAAATATTGCCGAGGGCTACTGAAAAACCTGTAATCTATGAGTCATGTTGTCGGTATTTTGTTGTCAAATCTGGTTCAGTTTGTTTGTTGTGTTGAACAAGTGAACATCGCTGGGATGTGGCGTCCGTGGTGTGGTGGTGACGAAGAGAACGTTCCTGTCGAAAGTGCGAACGATAACTCGGAGCAAGTGAACGACCCTGTTGAAAGTGATTTGTCGGTAAAACCTCATATTGCTGGACGCAGCAACCACCTCACGAAGGGGAAGCTGCGATTCAAGCTATGGTGCGTTACGCCGAGGAAAAAGGATCCAAGAGCCCTGTAGCAGATGTTGTGAAAATTCTAGGAGTTGCAAGGAGTACGGTACAACGGGTTAAATCAAAGGAAATAACATCTCCAAAAAAACTATCAGTCATTAGTAAAAGATTTAGGAGAATTGATGATTTCCAATGGAAAATCATACAAAGAACCGTCTACGAACAGTTTGCTAAGTCAGAATCGCCGACAGTTCGATCAATACTAGAAACTTTTAAAGATAAGGATCCGGAGTTTGGCTACTCTGCATCTTCATTGAGAAGCATGTTAAAATTACTCGGGTTCAAGTTCAAAAAACTAGATCGACGAGGCAGAATAACGATGTCGCACCGCATAGTTCTTTTGCGCGACAAATACCTCTTCAAGATACAGAAGTTAAGGGATGAGAGCCGTGTTCTTGTTTTTTTTTTGGACGAAACCTGGTACCTTACTGCATTATTTCGGCAACGGTTCATCGTACAACTTTGATTAAAATTGCTTTTTATTTGTCTCAGTAAGACGAAAAAAATGAGCCGTCATTCGTTTATGTAGGTCTAATGTATCAATTGATTGCAAATTATAGTGAGACGCAGATTTTCTTGGAATTCCGTCAGTCAGGGGTGAACGCCACGAACGAAGGCTAGGGGTACGTAAACAGAGGATAAGGACCGATTAGGATGGCCCGTTCTACCTGAGGAGGTGTCTCTCTACGTTCTGTGCCCAACTATACTACACCGCTCAGACTGTAGGAAGACCCTGTGCACTACAATGCTGTATGGCCACCGCCATTCAGGCTCTTCCTGGCTCGTTACTATAAACGGAGCTATAAGCGTATGGTTGTCTCACAAGCTTGGCCTCTATATCTTACTTCTCTGTGGCTAAGTTATATACAAAAATGTGTGCTGCAAGTTACTTACCATGTAATGAAGAGGTTGAGTCTTCTTAGAATCAAAATTTGTGCCTCTAACTTTTTTTAAATCAAGCTTTTCATTAGAATTCAGGCTCTTTACAATTTGTAAAACTGAAGGTCCCTTATCACATTTTAAATTCCTTACACGATTTTTCAACAAAGGTTTTGCATAGACTGGTTCCGCAGTATCACTCAATTTGATTTGTCCATATAGGGACGAGCTATTCTGAAAACCATTTTCAATTGAAGTTAGAGCTGGGGCAACCTTGTTTCGAGCTAAATCTTCCAAATAAAATTTTGATTTCCGTTCTAGTGGAGTGTCATAAATATGTGATGTTTTCAAGAAGTCCATGGAATTAGAACAAGATAGAACTCCAAAACATCCATCATTTGAGCTAGTTTTATCATGCGGAGAGTCTGGCAATGATGTTTTACGTACAGCCGGAGAATGAGAGTGAGCTGTAGTTTTTAAATTGAGAGACGTTTTACTATTACTGTTCATTGATTCTTTACTTAGTGAAAGTTGTTTTTTCTCAGATTTCGGTTCAAGAATTTTTCCCTGTGTTTTATGATTGTGTAAAGCCATTTCAAGTTTTTTTAGCATAATTTGAGACTCAGTTTTAGATCGTATAGGTTTTAATGTGCATGATGAATCAATTTTACCAAGATCTAAATTAATGTCATCTGTAGATAGCCTAATTGAAGAGGTTCCACTATTTATGTCACAAGATCTTTCTGTAAAATGAGCAAACGTGCGAGGAGGCTTTTTGGGAGGTGGTCCTGGAGGTAAGGGTGTTTTTAACACCTTTTTAAGGGTGCTTGATAATTTATCATCAACTTTGCCAGACTCGTCAAGGTTGCTGACAGTGATATTTGAAACATCTGTGATATGTTTTTTACCTGGCTGAGTGTTTTTAATAATTGATTTTGAATCGTTCCTTTCATTCAATATATCATCCTTAGTGTGGGAATTAATGTTAACAATATTGTGTGCAGAACAATTGGTTTTGGTTTGGGGAGAACCCTGTTTCATTGAAGGATCTGTAGAATCAACATCAAGCTTGAAAGCCTTTGGTGTAAATTTTGCTGTTGGTTTGCTGGAATTAAAGTCTATTTTTGAGGACTCATCAGCTTTAATGGAAATAAAGGTATTGCTAGTACTCCTCCCATAGTTTGTTGATGGCCCAAGTTGAGACAAACATTTGTCAGGACAATCCAAACTATCATTGCAGTTTAAATTGCGGTTAATTTTATCAGACCGGAAGGCATGCGATCGTTTTATCAGCCCTCTTGTCGACGACCTGTTGTTTGTGTTTTCAAAAGTTTGTTTTGCTATCCAGTTTGAATCATTTTCTTGATTAGACCTTACCACAGAGGTAGCAATTTTTTGTTCTTTAGATGCATCTGTCAAACCTTCAAACTTCTTCTTTATATCGTACACACGGGAACCCATTATTTAAAAGTGGTAATAAGCTTGTAGCTAGTCATGCAATAAAACATTGTGCTGTAATTACTCAAGCTCAAGTGAAAAGGAGCATTATACATAAGCTTTGTTAGAAATAGGTAGTATGTTGCTTCTTATAAACAAAGACTTATGCCAACATGTTTGTCTAGAAAAACATAAAAACACAAGAAAACTATTTGGAGTTATGTTCATACCTTGGTATTGGAAGTTTATGAATAGGCCTAGCGTAACAATATTCTTAGGCTAACTTTAAAACAACATTTTTGTAAGATTTGCTCATTCCAAACTTTAATTCTTGGAGTTATCATACTTAACTGTTCACTAATTACTTGCAAGATATTTGTAGTAACTATTAATTAAAACAATCAACCACTCAGATAAATTAATTCTCAAAAGAAAATCCCCATCACTCATCCAGCCAAAACTGAACCAACAAACAAAAAACAAAACGTCAAACGATGAACCGACAAGGCGACAACCGATGGATGAACGAACATTATCTATGAAGAACCGAAGAACTAGTTGACATTAGAAGACAGGTGGACAAACACCAAACATTTTAATGCAATCACATTTTACATAGCTATGATTAAGCTTTTGATTATAAAATTAAAATCAAAGAATACGTAAGAAAATTAAAAAAAATATAAGATATTAATAAAATGGATTAATTTTATACCGTTGATAAAATATTGATTATATCCTTCATTTCCCTAGTCTATTTTACATATAACCTATGCTATGGGTATAACTAATACACCGATACATGCATAATCTATTAGTTGTTGAAAGGACTAAAATCAATGTTAAATCTTTTAGGGCGAAATTCGATTCCCACGTAACATAGGTTTAATGGTCCCTATGCATTTTTCTTTTGTTCTGTTTTTGTAATGTGCTTGTAGAAATATATTAAACATATGTTCGATACGACACTTTTTCCATTCTAGTTTGATTATGCAAAACCATCAGGTGACCAGTTAAAGCCGTAGTCCCGTAAGACCAAGGCAAAACTTTTAGAGATAAATTCCTGTAGGACAAAGTCCTGACATTTTTTAACTACTCTGGCATAGATAAAAGGAGTATAGACTGGTTTATTCAAATTTGACATAGTTATGGTTACCATGGTCATGCAAAATTTCTTGCGGATCACTTCAGCCGTTCAGGTGGAGTATTTTTAAATCAAGAGTAGGAGTGTAATATAAGAGGACCGCTCAAGTTGTTAACAGAATTTTGGTTCCATTCATTCCGAAGAACGTGATTTCTATTCACTAACGTTATGAACAATTTTTTTTTTATCAGAATTTAATTTACAATCTGTCCATAAAAATATGAGTACAATAAGTAAAACATTTAACAAACAAAAAAAAAATGGAAGGAAGCAAGCACCTGTTCATCAACCAGTATTGCCAAAAATTGTATCAATCATTAATTTAAAGATTTAAAGAAATCTGTAGCTCAGGTCCAACTCATGAACAACACTTTTTAGCCTGGTAATACACTGACTATTGTCCAGCAGATTAACAGCAAGACTGTTTGTATAATATCCTAATTACAGTACTTAATTCTTGGTACTTTCAGCTAAGATCTGTAATTTATTCTTTCACTGATTTAAATTTGAACTCAATTCCGTGTTAGGACGAACCATGGTGCGCCAATAATAAATTCTTCTTGGCGTCTTAGCTTGAAGTCGTTCAAGAATTTGGATGTTGGATTTGCTTGAGGTCCCCCCAAGAAATGCCGATCTATAGTAAAATGTTGTTAGCCAATGATGAACTAAATAAATAGACTATTGCTTGTCCTTATTTGATTTGGATACAAACATATGTGTGTAGCTTTAATCTAACAGCAGACCCCCAGGCCGTCTTGGTGAGGCAATTAAAAAGGGAGTGCCAGGCGCCACAAAAGGACTATAACAATTCGGAAAAACGTGTTAGATGAACATGAACATAAAGGTAGAGGTGTGTGAGCAGCTTGAATTTTGAGCCTAGCCAACAAGCTTTAGGAATCAAGCACCAAGTCGACTGCAATGTTTTAGCTATCGTAAAATGCGTCTGCAAAGATCACGCTTCGCCGCGATCAACAGCAAACGTTATTGTGAAAGACAAAGATGATGTCCACAAGACCGCAAGGCAAGAGATAATCTTGATTTTACCGCAGTTGCGGAAGACGATGATGATGTCCACACCGTGGGGTAAACTTGATTTTACTGCAATCTTAGCTAATGGATACCTATATTTCCGTTACCGATGGATATATTTAGGATTTTGCCACGATCACGGAAGATGATTATGTTTTTATAACCAAAGGTGTTCAGAATTTTTCCCGCAACCGTGGAGGACGATTATAATGTCTCCTCCGCTACAGATGATGACTCATACATCGATGCAACCCACCACGAGCATCACTTATTATGTGTAACGGGGAGAGGGGGTGCCTGACAACAACCACGGCCACCTTTAACATCAGGGGCCCATTTCATAATAAACAACAAGTTACAAGTTACAACTTGTAACTTATAATTATCATTAGATTTGCATTGGGCGATCAGCTGCTTTACTAATAATATTAGTTTGTACTTTATTATGAAATGGGCCCAGGCCGCGGCTTGGTAGAATCGGCAACGTTGCAAGTAGGGTTGTTTAGTGTCAGACGTCCCATAAGACAAAATGACAGACAGGTGACATCAGCTCATTAATTCGCACTTGAATGATTTAAATTTAAATTTATGAGTATAAATTTATTGAAACATAGAAAATAAAACATACAGAATTGAAAAACAAAACAATATGAATTGAAAATCTATATCTGTAGATTTAAAGCGAGTCAATATTTTCTTAGTCCAGTAACCAAGCTTTCGTAAATGCACAAATACCATTTAGCTGCTTCATCCAAACAAAACAACTGTTACATCACCACTTACGATGTTGCCACTTCGAAGGCCGCGGCCTGGACCCATTTCATAATAAACTACAAGTTACAACATGGGCCCATTTCATAATAAACTACAAGTTACAAGTTACAACTTGTAACTTGTAATTTCCATTAGATTTGCATTGGGCGATCAGCTGATTTACTAATAATATTAGTTTGTACTTTGTAATTTGTAATTTCCATTAGATTTGCGTTGGGCGATCAGCCACGGCCACCTCTGAATCAGCTGATTTACTAATAATATTAGTTTGTACTTTATTATAAAATGGGCCCAAAGACGGCCGTGGTTGCAAATAATGATAAAAAAATTCTTAAGTTTCACACTATTTACAATGAAAAAATTTAAACTGTTAGAACTCGTGTAAAATGAAGAACTTTTACAATTATTAAATAATAAAGAACTGATTTTATTCTGATAAATAACAAATATTTTATAACATTTCTTTGTATTGTTATGTTCTTGATCACTTTTTAAATTCTTATTACAACTCTTCTCTATTGTTTTAGATAAATTAAAATAAACCATCTGTTCATAAAAACAAAGACTAACAAATTATTATATTTTATGTTGATTATTATTGATTTGTACTATATAAAAAATAACTCAATTTCCAACATAAACCTTTGAAGAATTCTAGAAATTTTCAAATTGTGTTGTTGCAGGGAGGTCATGGATAAAATTATTTTTTTTTCTTTTTTTACCCAACTGTATTTTAATTTTCATTTTGGAATGAGAGTACAGTGAGTTCTTTCTTAGAGTAAAAATATTACCGTTTAGAGTCCCCAAAGCTAGCTATCGTCCCAAGCCTTTGCTACATGTCAACCTTCCAGGCCCGTCCTGTTTTGCCAATCGAATCGAGTTTCGAGTTATCACTTTAATTGTCAGTATGTCAGTTTACACAGTTTGTTTTTGTTGTATTGCAACTTAGGTCTAGTCTATTGTAGGCTATTTGGTATTTTCATTTTGTTAATAATGTTAATCTCTTAAAAAAACCTGTATGTTCGTTAACCTATAATCATCATCGTAATAATTTGCTCGTTCCGTTTCGTTTAATAACAAAACGGAAAACAAAACACCAACACCAACCATCCTGCGAATTGTTAATTGAGCACCATTCTTTCATTTATGTGTATTTGTAATCAGTTATGTATACTCACTCACAGTTGAAATAATCATTCCAGTTGTGAAGGGTATGGTGTATTTGTAGAAGGTGAGGAACCTCTTTACTCTAGGCTATTGTAACTGAATTAGGCCTATTTCTAATATGCTCTGGTATAATAGGTATTCTAATCCACCTTAATATCCTTCAAAAAAAAAAAAAAACTAGGCTAAACTTACTTTACTTAGCTTTCTTCATCTTTGACCAACGAGGTTAGATAGATTTACATTTGGATAGATGGATGGATATATAGATGGGTACACATCCAGGGCCGATTTACCGAATAGGCACGGTCTGCGGTGTAGTGTTAGGGTGAAATTTGTGGCATGTCTTGTGTTTTATTTAAGTAGTTCATCATGTCTTAACTGTTGTGAGGTGACTGCATGCAGAATGGTTTCCTGGATGTAGAGTGAGGTTGCTGTGAGGATTTTTGGTTGTTTAAAAGATTCCCGGCTGCTCTCTCGGTAGCGTAGTCCTGCTAGGCATCTGATTGCTCTTTTTTGTAGGGTAAGAATCTTTTCCATATTGGATGCTGATATTCTCCCCATGTCACTATTCCATATCTTAAGAGGGTTTCAAAAAGAGCAAAGTAGGCAACTTTAGCTATCTCCAGGCCACTTATTTGTTTGAGTCTTCGAATTACACGGGTACCTGACGAGAGTTTCTTGCCAAGCTGGTCAATGTGTTGCTTCCATGACAATTTTGAGTCAATTGTGATACCTAGATATTTGGTTATGTTGCTTGCTTCCAGGCTAGGGAGAGGTGCTAAGTTTGTACTTTTATTTTTTGTGTTAAAAATAATTTGTACTGTTTTGTTTTTATTTAAGACTCATTGTTTATAGCCTACAGTAGTGTTTAGCTTCAAGGTTGAAGCATGCGATCATATTTGTTTAAAGCCTTTCAGTAGCTTTATTAGAGAGGGTAAGCACGTTATCGTCTGCGTACATTATAATGGAGCAGGCATCATCCATGCAGTTTGGCATGTCATTCGTGAGGAGGAGGAAGAGCACTGGCCCCAGTACAGCTCCTTGTGGAACCCCTCTTTTTACACCAGTTGTTGGAGATTGGATTTTGTAGTTTATGTTATTTTGGGTGTGATTTATTTCTACCAGTTGCTTTCTTCCCTTGAGATAGCATTCAAACCATTCTGCTTTTTTACCTCCTACTCCTAGTGCCCTTAGTATTTGTAGTAGCTGGTCGTGATTGAGGCAATCAAAGGCCTTGCTTAAGTCAAGAAACAGGCTGGTCACTGAGCATCCTTCCTCCAATTGGTCTATGACGTGTTCTGTCAGCTGTATCAGGGCTGTTGTTGTTGATCTACCCCTGATGAATCCAAGCTGTTTATTCGTGAGTAGGCTATGCCGTTCGAGATGGTTTAGGAGTCTAGCAAGTAAAATTTTTTTAATTTTTTTTTTTAGAATGTTGGGATCAGGGATATTGGCCTATAGCTGCTAGGTTCACTTCGTGGCTCTTTTTTATATTTTGGGTATATTTTAGCTGTCTTTAGAGCAGTTGGAAAAATTCCTTGCTGTAAGGATTTATTTAGGCTAAACTGTATTATATTAGTGAGTGGTAGGTTAGGTTAGGTGTTGGGTTATTTAATGAACCGAGTTGTTAGTTCATGTTATCTCCAGACTTTTTTGTACAATTAAAACACTGGGGAAAATATTATAATTTCAAAAATGTAAGCAGGTTTTAAAATACTATTACAAATAAGTGATGAGCCAACTTGTAGACAATAATAGGCCTACCTCATTTTGCCTGGCATCTTTTGGACTAGGTATTAAATTCTAAACTATTCTTGAAGTTTTAAAATAATTTTTATGAATTTTAAATTTTACAGATAATTGATCTAATACTTTTCGATCATGGACGAAGATTATGAAGAAGAGAAGGGTTGGGAAGGGGATATGGGAGAACTGGAAGTAAGTATTTTTGTATTTGCACTTTGTAACTTACTTAAACTATGGCCTAAAAAACCAGTGTTAGTTAACATCTCACATGGTTCAATCATGATTTAAAATTCTGGTAAAATCTACCAAAAGTCTATTCTAATATACTAATAATAGGCTTTAATAGCTAGCTACCTATCTCCAAAATACAAAGTTGGCTAGTAGCCTACTGTAATAAATAATCATATTATTATTAGCCTATAAACTTAGTATGGGAATTTAAATTTACTGTTTATTGAGCTTTTCTTTGTAATTTAGCAAACAACAACACTTAAATATACTAAATTATTTGTTTTTTAAGCTTTATAAAATAATTAAAAAAAGTAGGCTATTATGTTTTTAGGGTAACAACATAATACGAAATCTGGCGGAATGGGAAAACCCCTCTGTTTCTATAGTCTGATCATGCTGGTTCGCTAACTTGTTTGAATAAACGTACGTTTTCAAGATTGTACATATCAATTTGATCAAAATCATGTTAATATTACTCAATCCATCGTGCTAACGGACTTAGGTATATACATTTTTATGAATGGTGTTTTTGGCCTTTGGGGACCTTAAATCAAAAAAGTAAATCGATCCCAATGCCTATCATGCTATCATACTATTTTTTTTTTAATTAGTAAATTAGTTAAATAAATTGAATTTTTGCTTGATGTGTTAAATATGTCCATATTTATATTAGATTAAGAAATTTCATTGTATTTTTATTTATTTATATTTAAGTTTGTCAGGTTAAGTGTAAGAGAGGGCCATGTGGCCCTAACTTTGCCTGGTAAAATAAAGAATTTTTCATTTCATCATGAGACCTACAGTAATTTACTGCAGCAAAAGTAAGTTTGTTTGTTTTCCAGTCAGATGGAGGAGAAGATGGAATGGAAAATCCGCAGGAAGTGCTGAAAGAATGCTTAGAAAAATTCAGCACACCTGATTATATTATGGAACCAGGAATATTTTCCCAACTGAAAAAGTAAGTTTGGTTGTCATGAAAATGATGTTTCATAGAACCCGGGTACAATCTTACCCGGGCTTTAGATCCCAATGTAGGCCTAAGTTCCAAATACTCATATAATTCTAAGATCTATGTATCTTTGTCTATTTGTTTCAACTCTATTTGTTGTAGTTTCTCATTCTATCCAGTTAAATAGGAAGGCATTTTTTAAAGAGTTTTCTTTATTTTTTTAGCTTCAAAAATAACCAAATCTGAAATCTTAGTTTTTAAACAAAAATAAAAACCAGATGCAAAAAGTGAACTAGGCCTAGGTCTATAAAAAATGAAAATGTGCTTAATTAAACAAAAAACCCTATTACAAACCTAGGTTCCTCGTAGGAAGCCTCATTTGTCAACACTCAACCATTATGGTACATTTAACCTGTCTATGTGGTTGGCAGACTTTTTTTGTTTAGTTCATAGTACATATTCACTTGGAGCTAAAAAAAATATAGAATAAAAATATAAAATAAAGAAAATAAAAATAATTTAACTATACATTTTTAATGCATATGTAACTAAAATAATAAAAAAAACCTACTGTAGTTCACAAATAAACACAAAGCAATTTGTCTTTATTTAACAAGTACACCCAACCCTAAGAAAAAAGTTAATACATTGCCTCTCAAATATAATTCTGGAATCAAGTATTAAAATTTAAAGTAATTTCATCGGTAGGCTACATTAAATTTGATTCCCAATCCCCACCTAAAATGCCAAGCTTCTTTGAAATACCTACCCAAAAAATTCCTATTCTTCTCATTTATGAAACTCAAAAATTCTTCTCTCTCCATGTTAGGCCTATGTTTAGGCGGGTTACACACAGGTATTGCAGACATAATGTCGCTGGTATTTCTGATGTCGCGGGCATGATCTCTGCGACGTATAATAAAATACAACCATGGGAAGAGGCACGTGCTGGCGACATGAAAGTGAAGGAATTACAAAATTTGTCAGTTTTAATAATGTCATCGTCAGAAGAAGATGACGTGTTGTTGCTGTTGGTGTTGAGGAGAAGAAGAAGACGACGACGAAGAATTCATGTTCAAAGAGAATTCTGGACCCATCCTTATTGTAAAGACAATCAGTTGTCCAGTCAATTTACTTCGACAAGGCAGTTGTTTCAGCACCCTGAAAAGCTTCAAAACTTTCATAGGACGAAACTGAAAACCTTTAAAAAACTGTGTGAGCTGTTCAAAGATAAATGTAGCATCGAGGATAATAACTATCGGAAATCAATTAGCATTGAAGAAAGGCTGTCAATATAATAGAAACGTGTTTTGCGCATGCGCGTGCCCAAGAGACAAGAGACATTTCTGTTTAACCCTGACCGGTTGGTTCGCTGCGACACTGGTGTGTATAGCTCCATAAGTTAACATAGGATGGTTTTCGAGAGGCATGTCGCCAGCACGATAAATATCGGCGACATTATGTCGGAGATACCGGTGTGTAACCCGCATTAAATATAAACTTCTTTATAATGAGACAATGTCTATTTTGCATCTAGCACAAAATGGAAAATATCTCCTCTTGAAAATTGTCAAGATGCAGTGATTTATTGATATCATTTTCTTGTTAATTTCATTTAATCTTGACATGTTGATGTTGAATATTTATTCAACACTCATTAAGAAATGACTTTTATTTACACTATGGTTGTTGATACTACGTTTTTTTGTAGATATTTCCAGGCAGGAGGCAGTCCAGAGCAAGTAATAGAGCTGTTGTCTGCAAACTATAAAGCTGTAGCTCAAATGGCTAACCTGGTGGCCGAATGGCTCATTTTGGGTGGTATGCAACCAATTTATTATTTTTTTAAACTAAAAATTTATTTTGATATCATTTCCTTTTTGTTACTAGCCTAGTTAGTGTGTACTATCATGTTGCAACTTGAAAAAAAATGTTTTCCTAACTAAATTGACTTTTATGGTTGGTGGTTGGAAAACAAAAAGTAATGGCTTTGGAACAACATCAACCTATCAAGCTGGCTGGTATTACGTTTACTGTCTATTTGTGATTCTAAAGAAAGACATTGCTCATCATAAAGTTTTTGTCATACCCCAAAATACAATTTGTTTGCATTTTAGGAGTCAAGGTGACAGAAGTTCAAGCTATGGTTGAAAACCATCTCAAAGACATGATATTGAAAACATTTGATCCTAAAAAGGCTGACACCATCTTCACAGAAGAGGGAGAGGTTGGTATAGATTTCTTATGTTTAATTTAATATTTGGCGTTACCTATAGTTACACTCTTAACTACCAACTTGCATTGCTCAGTAAGAGTTTAGCTGTAGAACAGGTATCAGTTGACAGTCTGTAGTTTTCATACGTGTAATCAATTACACGATTGAAGTTAATCGCCTAACTCGTCACATAACATTTTTGCTTTAAAATCATCATGTAATCTTGCAAGTCAGCTATTGAGGTGAAAAAGCAATCGTTAAAGAAGACTGGGGATGATTGTGGCGGAGACCAAAGCAGATAGATGGTTATAGTGTCAATGGAATGAGTAAACATTTTTGCCCTCAATAAACAAACAAACTTAGCCAGTCTATGTTGTGGTTGCAGACCCCTGCCTGGTTAACAGAAATGATAGAACATCCCACATGGCGTTCTCTCATCTACCGTCTGGCCGAGGAATACCCGGACTGTCTCATGTTGAATTTTACCATCAAGGTAAGGTCTTTCCATAGTAAATCAAATAAGGATTCCCGATGCTTTAATCTTCATCCTCTTTTACAATTATCTGTATGTTTATCCTAATGTGTCTTTCAAATTGACTGTTTTTTTCTCATTTTGCAAGGTTTAAGCTACTTAATAACTTCACAACTGGCTCATTAACTTGTTTGTATCTCAAAATGAAAAAAAGACACAAAGTTCAAAATTCAATATTTTTATCTCATTGGTTGATGTCTCTGTGTTTGTTTGAAACAGCTGATCTCAGATGCAGGTTTCCAAGGGGAGATCACCAGCATCAGCACCGCAGCACAGCAGATTGAGGTGTTCTCGCGAGTACTCAAGACAGCTATTGCTGGCTTCCTCCAATCAACCGATGACTGGCAGTCAAGTATCGATGAGTGTGCCGTGAGTTACCTAATAGCGTGTTATAACAAATTAATTCTAATTTGTTTTTATAAAAGCCATATAAAATATTGGACATTTCAATTGCTTGCAAAGTAGTCCTTTTGGTACAGATACTATAAGATTTAATTGTTACCGATTGAAATAGTTTGAACAATTATTTGGTGCAATTAAAAACTCTTTGCCAAAAAAATTAGCCAAAAAAAACATTAAAATATTTCTTGTTAACAAAACACTGTTTTTGTTTATAGGTAATTCCTATAGGCTACTTATCTTGTGTAGTTAGTTCATTAGCATAATTATTCATCATGCTATTTTATTTGTACTTTTACATGTTGCAAAGGTAGCAGGAGGGAATCTTTTAGTAAATATGACAATAAGTTTCAATAAGGCAAAAAAACCAAATTACATCTTATTTCTAATCCAAAAGGAAACAAAATTATAATACACTCAGATAAGTAAGAACAATTTGTAGCTGATAACTGGAAAAGAGTTGGTTCTTACTATTATGGGGTTATCATAATTTTAATCAGTTCTTTAATGACTATATTAATTTGTCCAACATACTAATTATTTCTTTAAAGTCTTACCCTGTTCCAGAAAATGGTGTGTCATGGACAACACACGTATGTCTACAGCCTGGTGCTGCTGCAGGTTCTGTCCCGAGAGAACAAGGGAGGCTCAAACATGAAGCGGCTTGCTCAGGAGATTACCAGATGTGCTCAGCTCAGGTAGGCAAACTGTCAAATGTTACTTAGTACTCAGTAGTGCAGCGGTGACTCACTTGACCCACCTAGAAAGATAGAGATTTCTGTACGTATTTAGGTTCTACATACACCAAGTGGTGGATGCCCTTTCACACAAAATCTCCTTGTAAACCCAATCAGCTATTTACAATGCTAATAAATCAATACCATTTTCAACATCCATTTGATTTGTGCACGTCCTCATGCAATTGTAAAAAAAAAAAATGGATAGTTAACTTAGGGATGGACGAGATTGGATTTTTAGTTCGAGACGAGACAAGACGAGATTTTTTATTTCTCATAAAATTTCGAGACGAGATTTTTTATTTCTCATAAAATTTCGAGACGAGATTTTTTATTTCTCATAAAATTTCGAGACGAGATTTCTCTTCTCATACACAACGGGAAATGCACGTTCGTAATTTTTACCTGATTTTGTAACATTGTTAGATGCAGGCCTCCAAGTCGTCCTACTTTTCCTACTTTTTAGTAGGAAAGTAGGAAAAGTCCTACTTTTTACACATTTGTCCTACTTTCCTACTTTTTTATAAAAATTATGTCGATTTTGCGATATTTTATTACACTTATTATTAATGTTTACTTATCAATATTTCCCAATGAGAAGTTTTTTCCTAAAAAAATATGACTGACTGAGATATATTTTTTATAAAACAATCTGTTAAATGATTTTAAATTTTAATTTATAAGTTCCAGTACTGGTAGTATCTGTATGGTTAATCTTATCAACATTGTTATTGGGTGAAAACATTTTTTTTCAAAGACGTGGCAGTACTATTGTGATAGAAAATAAAAATTGTGATTATTATCAGTGCTTACTATTCTGACATGTCTTTTAGATTCCCCAATGAAGTAAACTGAGGAGAAATCAATGCTCCTGGGGAGCCCTGGGATACTAGTTCAAAAGTAGTTAACTTAGCACTTATCGGTCCAGTGTTTCCCTGATTAGCCTAAACATGATTTTTTGACATAACTGTATTCAAAATAAATTAAGGCTTAAGTTCAAGTTTAAATGTCCAAGTCTCACTGGCTCAAATAGTTTTTACTCATTACAATTCAAACATTCCCTCTACTTTTAAGATAGCTCTAATCTAACTAATTCAAAATACTTTTGGAACATATTTTTAGAATTTTATATTATATATAGTTCCGTACTTTATGGGCCTACTTAAATAACTATTTATGCTTCTGTTTTCCACCCAAAAAAATTCATTTTACTTTTATATTAATTTTAGTTCTGAAATATTAAATAATATAAAAAAAAAGAACAAATTTCTTATTTACAGCACCATTTTAAACACAAATTAGGGCTGGTTGGTAACGTTAGGGAAACATATTTATTTTTATCCTTTATTTAATGCTGCTTGTCCTAAATATTTTTTCGTGATGACTGTAGATAATGACACCTTTTAACATTTTAATTTCTCTTGTGCGTTACTTCTGAATATTTGGTGTACAATCTCAGCTAAAACTTTATCCGGCCTTTTAGTTGAAGATTTTTTAAATAAAAATAATTAATTATTGATATTAATTTTAAAATTTATATATAGAATTATTTTAGTTATGTTTCCAAATTGTCTGGACATATTTTGTGGACTTCTTTCTTGGGCTAAAGCCGGGTTTTCCTAGGCGCGGAAGCGGAGAGCGGAGAGAGGAACGCGGAGAGCGGACTCCACTTGTCTTAGGTAATTTAATGTTTCTGTTTTCCCAGAAGCGGAGCGGAACACCATGTTAATTTCTTTTCCGCTCTCCGCTTCCGCGCCTAGGAAAACCCAGCTTAAGACAAACATAAAATTCCATATAAGTATGGGTCTAAAATGCCTAGATTTTAATTTGTCGGTCTGTTTGTGATTTTTAAGAATTATTTTATATCTTGGGCATTTTTCAAGATAGAACTTTTAAAATGGATATAAATGTGTATTTTAGAAGGTGATAAGAGCTTGCAAAGTTTCGATCCAATATCTCAAGCCGTTTCAAAATGGCAGCCATTTAAAATATTTAATGCCAAATTTAATTTGAAACCGTAAATATTTAGAATATAGTTTCCTGGATCAAAAAGATAGAGAATTCAAATACAAATCAAATGAGACCTCGTTTTTTAAAATCTGATGACAAACAACCAAATCAGTTTTTTCTAAATTTGTTTACGCAATTTAATAGGACTACCCATACTGCTCTGAAAAATAAGAATACAGTATGGTAGTGCTATTAAACTGTGTAACCGAATGTTGAAAAAAAACTTATTTATGGTTGTTTGTCATCCGATTTTACAAACAAGGTCTCATTTGATTTGGATTTGAATTCTCTATCTTTTTGATCCTGGAAACCATTTTCTAAATATTTACGGTTTTCATGAAATTTGGCATTAAAGATTTTAAATGGCTGCTATATTGAAACGGCTTGAGATATTGGATCGAAACTTTGCAAGCTCTTTTCACCTTCTAAAATACACATTTATAACCATTTTAAAAGTTCTATCTTGAAAAATGCCCAAGATATAAAATAATTTTTAAATGTCACAAACAGACCGACCAACAAAAATTTAGGCATTTTAGACCCATGCATACTTATATGGAATTTTATGTTTGTCTTAGCCCCAGAAACAAGTCCACAAAATATGTCCAGACAATTTGGAAACACCCTGTATATTTGTATACACTATTCTATTTGATAAACTATTGTGTATGCTAGTATTATTTGGTTTTTAATATATATTGTATCAGCAAAAAAGTTCGATTTGTATGTAAAATTAAGTCCTACTTTTCAGTAAAAAGTCCTACTTTTTGCTGAAAATGTCCTACTTTTCCTACTTTTTTGAGGTCAAAAACCACTTGGGGGCCTGTAGATGACTGTTTAAATACAAAAATAATTATAATAGGCAAGAATATTTACAATCTTTTATTAAATAACATCAGCATAACATTTTTTTATTAATCACGCCTAACTTATTAAAAATGCCTACGATTAGGAAACATGGTGATATCAGTTAGGATAGAGTTCAACTTATCCTAAAATAAAATAAATCATAAAATAAAAGCAATGTACTTGTTTTGACTTTTTTATAGTAATAAAACATTCCTCACACTGCTTACACTTAACAAAACTTCTCAAATGTTATTAAAGTAATATTATTAAAATAATTAAAGTAATATTTACATTAAAAGAATTAATTAAGTAAGAAACCCTTCGCAAAGGAAACGCAACTACAACACGCTCCTGTATTGCGGGTATTGCATTGACTTTCTGCAGGAGTTTTTAATTTTTGTTTTTTTTTTTTTAATTCTCGTCTTGATAAAAATCTCGGCCAAAAAAAAATCTCGTCTCGTGTAACAAGATTTGAAATTTCGAGACTTGACCATCCCTAGAACATTCATAAAACAATTATTTGTAATTCTGTTGTTGGAAGCTGGAATATAACAAATATAAGTAATTATGTCATCATCTGCACTAAAATCAGGAATAACAAATTTACAAAACATGTTGTATTTGAAAATATTTATTTTAAAAATTAATAAATTCACATTGTTAATCACCTTGAATTGTGAATATAATGAAAATATTTTAATGTACTGCTCTGCCCCTTGTTACTTGCTCAGCTCTGTTATGGTGCTTACCCGACCGTTGTAAAAAATTACGGGTCCGGATAAAAAAATCTAATGATCAATCTCTTCCTGTTTCCCACAAAAATATGTTCCTAGAACCACTGCAGTAGTTTCATCTAGACAGAATATCACCAGCTGCAATAAGTTTTATAGAGGAGCTCGCCTTTGTGGCTCGCTTAAAAGATTGTGTGCTCACAAGACGCCCATCACAATGGCCCTGTCTGTGGAGGCAGCTCACCCTCACGACCAACAGGCTCTCGTGTCCATGTTGAGTCACAACACCTGCTGATGTCACATTGCAGGGTGTCCACATTCTGGAAAGTCAGGGATAGTCATGGAAAGTCATGGAAAAAAATTCTGGTCATTGAAAGTCATGGAAATAGGCAAAATGTCATGGAAAGTCATGGAAATTCCCCATGATGGATGATTTGAGGGAACTATTCAATGCTCTAGTCCGCCGTAACTCCGACTACTGTAGCATTTTTCAGGATTTTTCACAAATTTTTGACGATTCAATTTATTTCAGTTGTATTATTTTATGATTTTTGAGTTTGTATTAGTTCATTGTTGTACCATTGTACTCCATTGTTGTCTGTTAATACATATTTCAGTAGTTTCTGCGATATCTAGGCAGTTTTATTTGTGTGTGTATGTTATATTATAATTTGAGTAAAGTTCGTGAGTCATGGAAATCGATGGTAAACGGTCATGGATAGTCATGGAAAGTCATGGAAATTAATGACAAATTTTTTGTGGACACCCTGCATTGTTGTATCTAAGCAGATTGTTGATTGATGAATGTTTGTTGACAGCCGGCATGATGTGACGCCCATCACAATGGCCCTGTCTGGGGCGGCAGCTCACCCTCACGACCAACAGGCTCTCATGTCCATGTTGAGTCACAACACCTGCTGATGTCACATTGACATGATGAATGTTTGTTGACAGCCGGCATGATGTGACACCCATCACAATGGCCCTGTCTGGGGCGGCAGCTCACCCTCACGACCAACAGGCTCTCATGTCCATGTTGAGTCACAACACCTGCTGATGTCACATTGACATGATGAATGTTTGTTGACAGCCGGTATGATGTGACGCCCATCACAATGGCCCTGTCTGGGGCGGCAGCTCACCCTCACGACCAACAGGCTCTCATGTCCATGTTGAGTCACAACACCTGCTGATGTCACATTGACATGATGAATGTTTGTTGACAGCCGGCATGATGTGACACCCATCACAATGGCCCTGTCTGGGGCGGCAGCTCACCCTCACGACCAACAGGCTCTCATGTCCATGTTGAGTCACAACACCTGCTGATGTCACATTGACATGATGAATGTTTGTTGACAGCCGGCATGACGTGACGCCCATCACAATGGCCCTGTCTGGGGCGGCAGCTCACCCTCAGGCCCAGCAGGCTCTCATGTCCATGTTGAGTCACAACACCTGCTGATGTCACATTGACATGAATGTTTGTTGACAGCCGGCATGACGTGACGCCCATCACAATGGCCCTGTCTGGGGCGGCAGCTCACCCTCAGGCCCAGCAGGCTCTCATGTCCATGTTGAGTCACAACACCTGCTGATGTCACATTGACATGAATGTTTGTTGACAGCCGGCATGACGTGACGCCCATCACAATGGCCCTGTCTGGGGCGGCAGCTCACCCTCAGGCCCAGCAGGCTCTCATGTCCATGTTGAGCCGAAACACTCTCAACCCTGCTGACATTACTGTGTTGTATCGCAACTACAGCGCTCCTGAACCCCCACCTCTGGACCTCATAAGGATACCTCAGTTCTTAGGTATTGTAATTCTACTTTTCACACAGTTGTTTTTATGAAATGTTACCTTACATAATTAACAAGATGGAAACATTTATTTGCATATTTTTGGCTGAAGTATGTTTGTCAAATGGAATTTTGGAATGAGATTCTTTTTGTAGCTTTGACTTAGATATGCTGTTTTCTTCAGTCAGGACCATCAATAATGATCAAGTACAGTTGGGCCCAGGTTTCGATCCATCAAAAAGCTTCTGACTTATAGATCAAACCTGTGACCTTCTGATTCTTAGGGGACCTGTATAACTCAAAAGCACAGCCCTCTCAAAAGCTCAACATTCATAATTTTCATTAGAACTTGGACTAGATCCCAACAAAACCGCTAATCTTCCTGTGTGCTAAACCACCGTCGTCAATGATGACGATGTTAGACAAAGGTTTGATTAAATTATCTTAAAAACAAATATTGTAATTGTAAAACAAACATTGTAAACATTGTAACAATCATTGAAACTTGCAAACATTGTATTTTACTATGAAACTTTTTTTGTACTCTTTAGGCACACAATAAACATGTTAATTTATTTTCCCACTTTTATGTTTCCTTTTAGGCTACATAAGTAGTTCTTACCTAAGTAAGTTCACATATTTTCTCATTTCTACAAAAACATGACACTGTTTCTTCTTTGCTCAATCATCATTATTGTAAAACTATTTAATGTAGACTAAAAAATTAAATCCAGATGCTACTAATTTCGTACTTCAGTTCAGAGGAAAAGGATCCAATTACAAAAGAGTAACTCATAGCAGAATATTATTCAAATTACTTTTTACTGTATTTGTATCTCCAGTTCCTACTGTAAAAAAAATGAACTAATTAGCTACATGTCAATATTACATAGTTAGTATCTTGGATTTACAGAATTACTCGTGGATTCACTTTTTAAACCTGGAACCAAGCTGAACCCAGAGCACAAATCAAAATACATATTCCTTCTGGCGTATGGTGCGAGTGTGTTTGAAGCTAATAAGAAGACGTTGAACAAAGAAGAGCTGAAGATGACGATGGGGGCGATCGAGAAGGTTCACACAATCTGCAGCACAATCAAAGGCTCCTCAGAGCTGATAGCAGAACTCAACACACTCTACCATTGTATTAGGTGAGAAACTGGGAAAATTTATGTTGAATTTGTGTTTGTTAAAGATGTTCAGTAGAGTGTCAGAATTTGACAGTAAAAGTGGTTGGCAACCTTTAACATTACATGGGCTCCTCCACATGAGCCTCATATCAATATACATATCAAGTGTTGAACATACAAGAATTGTCCATAAATGAAGGTTTTCTTCAAGCTCCAGTCGCATCCAAGCAAGCTAGTTCAGATCTGATACTACTACACAGTTCTTTAATTCATCCACTACCATTATAAATCAATCCTACCATTATGAGACTAGTCTAGTCATAGTAGCGGAAAAAAATGTGAAGAAAAATCAGCACCAAGTATTAATCTTTGATTATATATCTGTTGTTTTAGGATTCAACTAGTGATGTGTCAAAACCGAATCTCAAATCTCAAAACAATCAAAACTGAATGAAACTGTGCAACTTTCAATGACTGCATGGAAAAGTTTCGGTTTCGAGATTCGATCACCAAGTTTCGCGATTCAAAAGTTTCGAAATTGAAGATTATGGCAGTTTTATTTTTGAAACTGCTGACATTTTTTTGTGCCATTGTTATTGTTTTTTACACTGTTTCCAAACAAGCTGGTAGCAACAGAGCAAACATCACCATTAACAGTAATGAAACAAGTAAATTTGATTCTGAACTTCAAAAGGTATCTTAAAATCTATATAACTGGTAAAATTCAGTTTCACATAAATATTTACTAAACACAAAGAAATATTGACCACTAAATGTTCTAATTAATCTAATATTCATGTTTATGTTGGTGTTAGAAGTTTATTATTATTATTTTTTTTTTTGGTTGCTTATAAAAATTATGTTGTATTATGTCACGGTCAGGAGGAGTCGATCTCTTTCAGTTTTGATTGCTTACTTAACATTTTTTGATCATGTGTATTTTTTGTTACCTTGACCTTTGTAACCAGCTAAGTAAAAAAGTTTTGTGTTTAGGTTTTGAGATTCGAGATTCGGGATTCGATGTTTTAAAGTTTCGGTTTCGGTTTTGAGATTCAAAATTTCTGGTTTTGACCATCACTAGATTCAACCACTATTGAAGTCTATTGCCAGTTGAACTGTCGTCCTCACACTTTTCTGCAATACACTCTTGTCAATTAATTGGCAATACATTTTAATCGGGGTTGACCCCATCCCTCAGAAACCTAAAGCGAGAATGCTATTTATATTTGGCGGGTGAGTAATTTTTCCTTCACAACATTTTCAACTTCTTTGATGATACAAATTGTCCCTTAGGGGTGAGATTCGCCCAGAAGGGTAGTGGATGAAGTACATAACACGATGTTAGTCTCAGATTTGATCTAACTCGCTTGGCTATGACAGTAGATCGATGGAGACCATAATTTAAGGAAACCCTCAATCAAGAATAACAACGGAATGAATCTGTAAAATATAAGAATGAACTGTACTGCCAACTTTCAATGACTGCATGGAATGCAAACCCAAGACTCACTTATCACTCATTTAGTTTCACAGTACCTTGGGCTACCAACAGAGCAATCATTTAGATATGCCCCTACAGCCTTGCTATTCTCAAAATGAACTATTAAAGTGGGTGGAAGTACTGTGTATTGGGCCCAGCTACTTTTCTATGCACATCCATCCAACTGACAATTTTAGATGGAGTAGTGTGTCATCCACTAAACTTCACTATATGTTATTTACAGATATCCAGTAGTGTCAGTGGGCGTAGTACGCTGGGTGGAGTGTACTGTGACTGAGCCTAGCTACTTCAAGCTGTGTACAGAACATACACCCATACACCTGGCAGTTCTAGATGAAGTAGTCACATGTCATCCACTGCTACATCATAGGGTTCTCCAACTCTTCATCAAACTGTTTGAGTCAAAACAAGATGAGCTGGAGATTCTTGTTCAAGTGAGTTAGGTATTGATATTTTAGATTATCAATTTGAAGTATAGGTTTGCGAGCCTGAGATTTTGATGGAGCCAAGCTTTTTATCAGGTAATGCCATACAAATTAGTGTGGCACAACTATTTTTTTCAAAATGCAATTTAATTCTATGATGTGTTTAGACAAGTAGTTTTAAATTTAGTAATCATATTTACTGTAATGTGCATCTGTCACAATGACACACAGAAAAACAAATAATTTTTATCACTGTAATATCGTGAACATTTCCTGCGGTATTTAACACCTCTTAAGGTTGCAGAGACATCATCGTTATCTTCTGCGGTCACGGGAAAATCCTGAACATCTCTGCCGTCAACAAAACATCATCGTCTTTCCCGATCGCGGCAAAATTCTGGATAACTTCTTTGGTCGTATGAACCAGAGAAAAATATTGAAAAATCTTCTATAGTTGCAGAGAGACATTATCATTGTCTCCTGCAATCATAGAAACTCTGTCATCGTCATCCACAATTATTGTGGCAAAAGCGTGAATTTGTCAATTGAAGGATCTTTACAGACAGGTTCTGGAAACGTCATCGTAATAGCTCACGTTGAGCATGATTTTCTGACTTGGGGTTATATCTTAGCTTTTTGGCTACGTTCGGCCCGGCTCAAAAATCAAGTTACTGGCGCACCTCCAATTTAAAGTTGGATCATGTGAGTAATATCACCTTAGGTAGCGATAGGCAGAAATTCATGTAGGTAGGAACTAATTTTTATTATTAAATTGCTGCAAACATCTGATTAGAATCCAAAATATTGTTAGTGTTGCAACTAGTTTTGTTTTGACTTTCTACAAAGTCATCTTCAGGTGTCAAGGATGTCATGTTAAAACATATGATCACTTCATCAGAAGGTCGTCGATAGACATTAAGTACATAAATAAATATAGACAAACACGGACATTGAGCCGGTTAAACAGAACGGTACATTTAAAACGATTAAAAACAAGTATAAAACAGTAACTGCAGCATGGGGAATGATGCGTCACCACTGGATGGAAGAAGACTCACTTCTCCATACTGCAGTTAGGTACTTTTTTTTATTTGTTTTTAAACCTTTTAAATGTACCGTTCCGTTTTACCGGCTCAATGTCCGTGTTTGTGTATATTTATTTATGTACTTAATATGTATCAACAACCTTCTATTTGATCAGGATCATATGTTTTAACATGACATGCTTGACTTCTGAAGAATGAAGATGATTTCGCAGAAAGTCAAAACTAGTTGCGACACTAGCAACATTTTGGATTGCAACGAGGCAGGTATTTACACAAATTTATATTCAACGCAATCCAGAGGGTAACATAAAAAATTTTGTTATTGCATTGTTTCAGATGTACTAGCACAACTGAATTAATTTACTACTTTATTTACTAGCTCACTTTAATATTGGATTTGGTTTGGGTGTATTGTATTGCTCAGGCGTCATCTTAACAATGATGAAAAGGCATGAAACTCACCATACATCTATTGCAATGTGAATTGTTTTGCGATGTATCAAAAATCCATCAACTGTAGCATGCATATACTGTTTCCTAAAGTTTTCCTCTGCTTCCAGTTGGAGATGCGCAAAATGTTGCTGGACCGCATGGTAAACCTTCTCAGTAGAGGTTGTGTCATGCCTGTGGTCAAGTATATCAAGCAGTGTTGGCAACGTGGGGACACTGACATATCTCTAATTCGCTACTTTGTAACTGAGGTTAGTAACACTCACGTTTAATTCCTGCCAATCACTAATGTCTCTTAGCTTTTCTAAGTGGCCTATAGAAGAATCCAACCTTACATTAAAATGTAATTTTTGACATGGTCAACTCCAGGAGACCACAAATCAGGGACTGTGGCTTAACCAGGAAGATTTTTACACATCCGTGTCAGAGATATTCATTACAGATCTAGGTTTTAGAACATCAGTCTAAATTGATCTAGTAAAATCTAGAAATTTTGGTTCTCTACTTGTCTAAAATGGATGGTAAAACTGTGGTAGTATGTGAGCCAGGGTAGACCCTGATCTCCTTGCTATTCAAACCAGCTCAATGTTTAATCTCCATACTTAACAGATTGTCAGTAGTTTGTTTGTAAAATATCCATTGGTGTACAACTTTATCTTCACTTTTTTTGCCCTCAAAGGTGTAACCTATTTTAGTTCATATCAGTGGTATATTTAACCTACAGCTATCCTCAAGCATTTACTAATATTCCTTGTGTACAAATTGTCAATAATATAATTTATTTTTTATTCTTTAAATTCATATTATGTTAGTACATAGTACCTTTATAAATTTGACTATGACTTTTCTGAAAATAAAACAAAATCTCTTACTTCATTGTGGTGTGAGTAGCCTCCGGATTGCGAATAATAACTATGATAGTGGTTTAAATACCTTATTCTTGCAATCCAATTGTTGTCTTCACAACTAGTTTCAACCTGCTAGGAGGTCATCATCAGGTGAGTACAAGGATGATATTACTTCATATGAAGGTCGTCAGTAACAGTTTTTTCACATTCACACAAACACACGACGAATAAACACATAGTGCGCACACATATACGGCCGATAAAAACATTTAACTCGACAAGCGGACCCGTGTTGATAATGCGGAAGTTGCGTCTAGACTCAACTTCCGCATTATCAACACGGGTCCGCTTGTCGAGTTAAATGTTTTTATCGGCCGTATATGTGTGCGCACTATGTGTTTATTCGTCGTGTGTTTGTGTGAATGTGAAAAAACTGTTACTGACGACCTTCATATGAAGTAATATCATCCTTGTACTCACCTGATGATGACCTCCTAGCAGGTTGAAACTAGTTGTGAAGACAACAATTGGATTGCAAGAATAAGGTATTTAAACCACTATCATAAAAATCTCTTACTTCGCACAGAACCAATCAGAGTAATTGTAAGTTGTAAGGTTGTGTTCGTTCTATACTCACTTTAATGTCGCTGCCTGTAAGTAATTCTTAACATTTTCACATACTACATGATTGAAACTTATTCTATCAATCTCTAGAGTGTTTTTATGTGACTCCACTATCTTTTATCACACACTTGACAAAAATAATATATAAACCCAAACTATCTATAGCTTGATATTAAATAAACTAAAATTGAGATCGATCAAATTTGTTTGTGATAGTGTTCAAAACTTGTTTCCAAGTCAAAATTACTAAAGCCGAGGAATCAAAATGCAGAGAATGGAGTGCATAAAAGCGATTAACATGGTGTTCAGCTCCGCTTCTAGGGAAACAGTAACATTAAATTACCTAAGGCAAAGGAGGCCGCTCTCCGTGTTCCGCACCTAGGAAAACCCGGCTTAATGCAACATCCTTTAACCTCCCAAAGATTTTGTTTGTGAATCAAAAAGAGTTATTAGGTTATCATAAAACTACTCAAATTTACAATAAAGTAAATTTGTTGCTCGTAGATCAATACCATATACCATTTACTCACCTCACCTCAGGTTACATTTACCATAAGTAGCTGAGGCTATTTAAAATCAATTTATCTCTTGTCTATGATCTTACCGTGGTTAAACATTCAACTGAAGGATCAGCTGTTATTAAATTACAATTCACATAAAACCGTAGTAAAGAAAGTTGGACAGTATCACTGGATCTTTGAAAGTGAACTCTAGAAATAAATGAGAATAATCAGATGTGGGGTTGGGGGTGAATCAATAAATGAAATTGTCCCTCTGCCAGATCATAAGCTTTAAAATTACACCTAAATCGTAAAAATCGGTTGAGTAGGATAACAAGTGATTTTACAGGGAAAACCCTTTTATTAACTATATAGGTACTTTAGAACCCTCCATTATTTTTATGACAAGTTTCCGAAATTTTACAGTCTATGTTTGCACAGGTACTGGAAGCCATTGCACCCCCCTACACACCAGAGTTTGTGCAGTTGTTCCTCCCTATTGTAGAGAACGAAGAGATCACAGGAACGATGAGGGGCGATGGAGACAATGATCCCGTATCAGAGTTTATTGGTGAGGTCATTTTGCGGATCTAAAAACTTCCTAAAATCTATACTATTATAAAAAAGAGGTGGTGTCTGTGTGTATGGGAAAAGTAAACGCGAAAACTACTGGTCGGATCGGGCTGAAATTCGGCATGATGATAGCTCATATTCCCGATTAACATATAGGCATATTTTTATCCCAAAAATCCTTCCGGGCTCTGCCCCAGTGGCTCTGGAGCAAAGGTTCCCATGTTAACCTTATGAGAAATGGAATTAATGAATCTTAACAGCTGTTTCAATTAAACAAGTTGGTTCTGTTCTATGATTTTCAATAGCATTAAAGTTACAAGGATTACCAACAGGGTGCAGCACTAGCATTATTTCTTTTACATTTATGACAACAGCTAATTTGCAACCAAAAGGTGAGTGAGCGTAGCGAACTAACTTCAACCTGGAGGCGAGTGAGCGTAGCGAACGAGCTAACCTGAAGGCAAGTGAGCGTAGCGAACGAGCTAACCTGAAGGAAAGTGAGCACAGCGAACGAGCTCCAACCTAAAGGTGAGTGAGCGTAGCGAACGAACTTCAAAAAGAACCGAAATTTCTTAAACCATGTCCTCACTCATAACTGCTATAAGCATTTGATACTTATATGACAACCCCGTACGAAGGACGAGTACTCTGCTAGTCTTGCATAAATATACTACACAACTAAATTGAATGAGCTATGAATTATTTAAAATTGTACAGACTGTACAAAATTGATTTAGAACTTTGAGCAGAGTCATTGAAATTATTAAAGTATGATGTGTGTTGATATGAACTCATTTGTTGTTTGTACATTCAACCATGTTAAATCATGAACTGAACACTTTGCCTGTAGTCCTACTCTTGTAGCTCTTAGGGTTGAGAGGAAAACCATCATACAAGTTCTTATCCATTCCATACAGGAGTGTTTGAATAAAAGTATGCTACGCATGTTGACCTTGACTATTATTATTAATCATACGGCTAGGCAAGTGGTGGAGCCCGGGTGTTTTGTCTTTCAAGACAAGGGTTGGGTTCAAATCCTGCCAATCACTAATGGATTTTAGCTATGTGATTACGCTTTGATCAAGTGATATCTTAATATGTATCTGTCTTTTCATATTTTTGAAACTAATAGTTTATTTTTATTTTTCAGTTTACTGCAAGGCCCATTACATGGTTGTACACTGAAAGAATCAAGTTTCTTCAATGTAGTATTAATTTATACAATTTTTCAGAGTGTATTTTATAATTTTTGTACATATTTGACCCAAATATATGTTTTTAAATAATCTGTTTACTATGTTATTTCCTTGGATTCAACTTCAGTATAGTGGGTAAATGAAAAAGGTTCACAAATGCCTTACTTAACAACCCTCTCTGGGTATAATTTAAAATGTCTTGAATGGTTAACTTGCCAAAAACTAGCTGTGTTACCTTATTGATTCTTTAAATGACTCACTTGCCTGAACAGATTTCAATAAATAATCATACATAGATGGTATGAATTTCTTACTTAGCTGCCACATTGCCATTGAACAATAACAGCTGGCAACACAAAACATTGCATACAAATGAAATCAGCATCAAAAGAGAAAAACTAGGTGATTAACATCAAATTACGTGAATTTATGTAAATACATACATACAAAAATACTTCCCTTTACCGAGCCACATCAAAACCAGACTATCCAATTCTGCAGGGAAAGCAATAAGACAGTAACTCCACTAAAAATAAGACGATAAGACAATAAGACGAGAGACGAGAGCAATAAGACGATGTGCTCCATATTGAAACCCTCCACTACAAAAACTCACGCCTTAGACCTATCTGGTCCCATTTAATTTTTTTAAATTACACCTACCTTTCAGAACAAAAATGATTCACTGAAGTTAAGATTGTTATTTTTTTTCCTTCTTTTGCAGTTGGTAATTTACTTATTTCTCTAGGATTATCAATTCAATTATCAATCAATGAGATGGGGACGCCACCTAGGTGCGTATTTTAACCCAAATATGAGTGAAGGATGAGAAAGTTATTAAATTTATTTGAGTGTACATTACATAAGAAAAATTAGCTTGCAAATATTTACTTATTGTGTTTGTCTACTTTTCACAAAATGGATGGTGAACAATTTTTCTGTGCTGGGAGTTTTTTCATACCTACCCTCGGCCCAAGGAAATTATGCTCCACAAATTGAGCTGAACGGCTGTTCTGCCTCCACATGTGCACAACCTTTCTTTGCTAATGAATATCTTTTTTTGATTTGGAATTTTCCTCATGTTTATTTTACCAGAAAATAATGGATGTTTTTTAAAGTTCTAATTTTGGATGGTGTCGTGAGCGGTTTTTGGTATTTTTTTCTGTGATGGTCATAATGGTATCAAAAATGTTTTGTCCAAAAACTGTTGAAACTTCCAGATCTATAAAAGCTTGCTGGGAATCTCTGCTCTCAAGTCATTACTCCTAAACTTATTCAAGTAGCTTTTTTCAATTTTAAGATATTTTTTATTTGGTTGACCCATAGAAGGTCTTCCCTTAGCTTGTGAAATGTATGACCGAGAAATAGTCAATTTGTATGATGTTTCTAACTGAAAAAGTTAGCCAGGCGCCTCAGAAGACCCTTAGAGATGCTTTACAAACAACATGGTTCATATGCCAGACCAGTCTAAATTTTTGTCTTTTACTTAGACGCCAGTTCTTAGGGATGGTGAGCGTTTCCTCACTGTACAGTTTAGCATACACTACTAATTAACAACAGGACTAGCTCAAAAATAAAAGATAAACCAGCTTCTACACAAATACTCTAACACTAAAACATGCATACAAATAAATAAATAAGAATACAATAATGTTGCAAAATGCCGAAAAAATAGCTGGGTTTTCCTAGGCACGGAATCGGCGAGCGGAGAGAGGAACGCGGAGAGCGGAATTGAGATTAACATGGTGTTCCGCTCCGCTTCTAGGAAAACAGTAACATTAACTTACCTAAGACAAGTGGAGTCCGCTCTCCGCGTTCCTCTCTCCACTCGCGGATTCCGCGCCTAGGAAAACCCAGCTTTATGGGACAGCCGTGCGCCTATAGTTCTGGCATGGTGGGGCGGAAATGTACTAGTATCGAGCAAGGAAGAGCCCGAACGATAGCAACATAGCATATTTTGCCAGCATTATTTATAGTACACAGGATATTCCTATCGAGTGAGTGATGAAGTACGTGATGACGAGGGGGCAAAGGAGAGCGTTAAGGGGACGAATAGAATTTGCTCTAGACACCAGTGATTTTTGCTAGTCACCATCCATTTAAGTTTATCATTGAATGTATCATCTGTTTTTTACTTCTCTGAGTCATAGCTGACAATCACGTTCATTAAATTTATCTAAAATATGAATAATTATCAGAAAGATGAGAGACAAAAACTCTGCCACTGAAGCACTCAGTTATTCACTACTATAAGTGAAGTGAGGCCTTATGCACATTAGTGATCTGCTGCCGGTCCCCCCTAATTACGATCTCAACAGTTCAATTGAGTTTTCATTGACCCCATAGTACTTTCACTTAAGTTTTCTTACAGAGGATACAGTCCCACCTGACGAGAAAACTACATGTGTATTCAAAATAGAATTGTAGTATTGTTATTCAAAATTAATACAAAAACTAGCATAATGCCAGTAATGCTACTATTGATTACATATCCAAACTTCGAAGGGAGATTTATAATCAATGATACAACAAAAAGATGGAAATTTAAAATAGAAAGATTTCTTCAGCTGCATGGTTAAGAAACTAAAACCCACTTTACCAGCCTCAGTGATAACTTAAAAAAAAGGGCAAATGTCACTATTTTAAAAACATAACCTTTACCATACCTTCTTGTATCGTGCGAGCTGTGTTCTTGTGTTACTTACTGTTTTGTTTATGTGTTTTCGTTGTTTGTCATTACTCTTATTGTAAGTCCGTGTACTACAGAACATTCTATTTCTATCTACTTATTTAATTTAATGCATAAGACAATCAATACAATATAATCATAAAATGCCATCAGATTCTAGAAGAAATGCAGGACCTGAAAATACCTTGCAATATCAATTATATTTGAAACAAAAAAAGACGTATGAAGAATGTGAAAAAGAACTTTGTGATGTAAATAATAGAAGAAAAGACGGAAGAAAACTAACAGATTCTAGGAAAATCTGTAAGCACACATTTTCAATTTAATTTAAACTTGTACCAGACCTAGGCTAAGAGGTAGGCTTAGGCTATAAATAAGCCGTGTTTGCTCAAGACAACATTCCAGACAAAGCTAGTTTTCCTGTTGATATAATTTTGATGATGGTTAGGCTAACAGTTAGGCCTATGAAGTATTTAGGAGTTAAATTAAAAACTTCAGAACAGAATTTGTGTATTGTCTACTTCTGTACTTTTTAAAAGGACAGGCCTATAGCCTATAATACAGCCTTACAAACTTTGTCAGGGCAAGGGGTCTAAACCCAAAACTAGGGACATTGTGATACTATCGATACCGGTAGTTATCGATAGGTAAGTTAAGTCTACCCCTCATGGGTAGACTTTCATAAGTGGGGCCATAAACAACTGAATGAATATATAAATCATTTCATTCAATAGGCCTATATCAAGTTTCTAGAACCTAACTAACCGAATGAAATAATCGATAAGTTAAAATTACGGTTTGTTTTGGCCCCACTTATGAAAGTCTACCCCTTAGGCCTACTTTTGACCAGTGGTAGGCCTATTGGTTTAGATTTGGATTACCATAAGCAATAAGTTAGCCTACTTAAGCGGTATGAAAGATAGTAAAATACCGTATGCAGTAAGTTACGGTAACCTAAGTAGGCCTATCAGTACAGTTATTGAAAGAGATTATGCATTATTATAAAAAGTAGGCCTAACTTATCCCTAGATAACTACTAGTTAGATATCATAAACTAACTACGGTACTATAGTGGAATAGAATGCAGAATAGGACTGGCCTCTGAGGAGGTAGGGGATGCGACGTTGCTACTTCGTTCTTGGCTGGTGAGCTGACTTTCACCTAGAGCCGGGGTGCGGGCGCGGGCATCCCTCTGACTCTGTCTTCCCACTTGTAGGGTAGTTTAAAACTAAAAACAATTTTTTTTTTGCGGTATCGGTTAGTGTTGTCATGTTTACATCACATGGAAGTAACATTCATCCCTTACATGATTATGGATAGATTATTTGCACAATTAATGACTTAAACAGCTACCGGTACCAGATTTAGTTTTTGAAAAATATATTAACATACAATTAATAAATATAAAATGAAAATGCATTTTATATAGGGTCACCTTTACAAGTCTCTGGAAATTTGTTGTCTATAGCCAAACGTTTGTCGGCCATGATTTTTTAACAAATCACCGTAACAATAATAGCAAATTTATATGGTCCAACAACTTTTATAGCAGTTCTAAAAATCTTATAAATTGTTGCCCAGTTATAGTTTGATACACAAAACAAATTAATATGGAAATGAAGAAGGTAAAATCTTCCATATTAAACATTTACAACAATAGTTTGGTTGTGTTTAGGAACTGAAGTTGGGCTATGTTTAGGAATTACCCCAAAGCTGTCTTTCTTTGAACACCTATTGTGACCCTCACTCCGTTAATCTTATTATTGCCACTCGACTGAACTTAAACTTACGGAGAACAGGTAGCTCAATAGTGACGAAGCCTTTTTCTGTAATATTGTGATTTGACAAAAAAGTCCGTTAGTTTTATATTGAATTTAAGAAAATTTAACTAACGTTTACATACATTACGTTATGTGTTGCATTCATTAAAATAGTCATACGTTATATTCACTCTTCTATAACAAAGAAAAAACTTCTAATGTAGGTACCGGTACTCTAGAAATCCTCAAAAAACATACCAGGTAAAAAGGGAAATAGATAACATAACTGCCAATTTATTGCCAAAATGACATAAGTATTTTTATTAGAAAATATTATTACATTGCACTGGAAATTGTTAGCCTACATAAAAATATTTACAAAAGAAAATATTGACGTATGAAACTTAAATACAATTTTTAAGGGAGAATGACATTTTTATATAGGCCTATCAAGATATTTGCATTACGTAAAGGAACACCACGTCCGACGTTACGATATCGCAAACGTTTCACGTGTACTCGTGGTCGTCCACGTCGCGTACTGTTGTCCATATTCATTGGGCGAAACACAGTTCATAGACGAATTCTTGACAAAACAGGAGGGTATACTAGAAACGCACAGGTCGGCTATCGGGCAGAGA